CAAAATTCATTTGAAAGCACGTTCTGTGAGACGTGGATAGATGTTCCCCATCCTTCCTAGTGCTTATAAAGACTAGAATGATTCTTTGATCTGGATGGTACTCCAGGAACATGAGAGCCCTGATGTCTTCACTGAAACAGTCAATCAATACTGGCTGCTCCCTGGGTATTGAGCATTAACTTGTTATTGTTGCCAGTGTGATGGAGGTGAGAGTGTCTTGCCTGCTGAACTTCCTAGCTTGTAATAATGGCTCCAGAGGACGTTTCTGTCCAACAGTTTTAATACTGAGTAAGTGGGCTTGGAATGCTTTCCCCTTTCCTATGTTTGAAGGATAGACAAGGCTCCATTGCTGGGGCTGCAGTTTGTCCTCCTATCTCTGAATCCACTTGACAGCCTGAATGAGGCTGCTCCATAAAGAAAGGGAGCGAAGGCCTTTGACAGCTGCTGTGCTCACTTCTGCTCCACCAGAAGCAAAAGGGTAAAAGGTGACGTCTGTACAAAGGTTTGCTGTGCGACCACTGAGCAAAGTGACAGATTCATGGCACAAAAAGCAGACATGGGAAACCTGTCATCAATACACTTTGGACACATCCAAACTGGCAGTTTTTCACACAACTGCTGAAAATTGTATGAGCTTGTACAGTGTACATCCCATTCTTTTTTCCTGCATGCTACTTCTTGAGTCCCCCCCCCCAGCACCCGCCACCACTGCCACAGAAATGCTTATTAAAGGGACATAATTTTCAGTGTGTTTTTTATTGAGTGTGGAGCAACTCTGCTCCTCATCTTCTTACCTCATCAAAGTGTTTTTTTAAATATCTTAAATGACAGCGAATGTACATTATTGTACTCATGCACCTACTGAATTATGAGTGTTAAGCTCTTTTAGCCAAAACCAAATCTACTTAGAAGCAACTTCATGATCCGTTCTCAATCTTCCTTGTCGCAAAAACTTAATTTTCCAGCAAGCTGCAATAACTTATTATTGTATGCACACATATTTATAATTCAGCAATTTCTTATTAAGTAAAAATAAAACAAAAATGATATCCAAACCCACTCTGGCATTTTAAGTGCACCTCTTAAGCGTTGGCTCTTTCCTCACCACATGCTCTGGCCATCATTTGCGGTTCTGATGCAGATTCCTTATCTTCACGAGGCGTGGCTGATTGCAATCTGGGCTATGGCCTTCTGTGTGGTGGTGCCCATTCTGCCAAGTAGTTTGGCAGGAAAAGTGCACCAGGCCCCTTCACTTCTTGGTTTCAGGCAAGGGGTAAGGATGTTGCTGTTTAAAAAAGTCCTTCAGCGGATTATTTTTCTGCCTGGTGCTTGGCTGTGTCCGAATTAGTACCATGACTTTTGTGATGTTAATGGCTGGGTTCAGAAAAAGTGATTGTTTTATATTTCATATATTGTTTTTGGTATTTGGATTTGTTAGCTGCCTTGAATTCCTTCGAAAGTAGGTGGAATGCAAGTTTTTAAAATAAAAATGAAACAAAAAAGTTATTGTCTAGCTTCCTCAAATATGAAAAGGCCCAAACCAAAATAGAATCAATAGGGTGTAGTTACAGTAGGGCCTGTCCAGACTTTTTTTTTTTTTTTTTGGTACATTTGTGATAATTTGTGTTCATGATGCTTTTGGCGCAGTGACACATGACCCTGCTTTCAATACCGTGGAAAAAGCTTCATTTCCCGTCAGTGCATATCCTGCAATCTTCTGCTGATATCCTGAAACTTTTATTTAATGCCTGGTTTATTTTTAAATGCTCTGGTTTATTTTCGTCCTGCATTTGTTGCGCTATAGCCTCTCAGGCCAGCAATAATGTGGTAACATTGGGGAAGCATTGCAGAACAAACGATAGTCATACCTCATGTTACGTTTGCTTCAGGTTGAGCGTTTTCAGGTTGCGTCCTGAGGCGACCCAGAAGTACCGGAAAGGGTTACTTCCGGGTTTCACCACTCGCGCATGCGCAGACGTGCAAAATGATGTCATGTGCAGAAGTGGCGAATCGTGACCCGCGCACGTGCAGACGCGGGTTGCGTTCCTTTCAGGTTGCGAACGGGCCTCCGGAACAGATCCCCTTCACAACAGAGGTACCACTGTAAAGCAGAATAAATCCACCCACTAATGCACTGTTATTGTCTCAATAACATGTTGCAGAAGACACACGCAATAAAACACTAATCTGCAGGGGCCCATAGCACAGTGGAGAGAATGTTGGACTAGGAGCAAGGAGAGAGACCTGGGGAAAACACTAGGACTGGTTGGTTGGTTGTGGCAGATTGAGTTTTGCTGTGCCCTAAAGGAAAAAGTGAAAGGAACTGTGACAAGAGTGATGGTCTGGCTGTACCTTTAATAGCAGGTGAGGTATAGAATCAGAAGCTTTGATGAATATTTCAGACTTTGCCTGATACTTGCCCGGTACAGTAGTATCTGAATTCCAAATTGTGCTTTCATCCAGCATGTGCCATGTCTCTAAATGCCTGCGCTGGATCATTTGAGTGCCCTCCTTTACATGCCTCACCTTGGCAGTGAGGATGTGTGCGCAGATTTTGGTTTATATTTATTGCCTAGCCCAGCATGATTAGTTAGGATTACAGTAAATTGCTGGCAGTAGATTGTTCTGATAAAAAGAGCTGTGCATCTACAGAAGGCCTCGCATTCTGTAATGAACGTGTTGACCTTAATTTTAAAGTATTATCTTTCTTGAATAAAGTATTATCTTCCTTTCGAGATGCTTCGTGAACGAGCCAGCTGAACATGTAAAATGTGTTAACTGTGTCGTAATTCCCCTTCTGTGTCAGTTGCGATTTCTAACCCTCTCAAGTGAACTGAAGTTACCTTGCAAGCCGAAGTGGGCCTGAGTCCACGAAAGCTTATGACATAATACTGTTGCCTTCAAGGTGCCGTAAGACTAATTGCAATTTTTGCTGCAACAGGCTAACATGGCTTCCACTCTGTGTTGCAAGACAAAACACAGGAGGAGGAACACCTCTGGTCCACATGGTTTGCAGAAAGTTAATAATCTTGCTCCTATTTTATAGCTGTAGTTCATGGATTCACAAAAAAGCCTATAATGGAGCAACTAGTCTAAACATTGAGAGGGGACTCTGCAGAAAACCCAGGAATTAAAACCAGATGATCCAAAGAATCTCTGAGGCAATTGCATTAATTCAAAGATTCTCCCTTTACAAATAAATAGATATCAAAATAGGGTTCGGGGTGTTGCTAGATCCTTAAAATTCCATGGTGCAAATTTGCATATGCTAATTTATAGATATAGTTGAGCATTTAGGCATTTTTTTAGAGGGAGAGCCACCCTGTAAGCAAAGTAAATAAAACCAAAATTTTAAAAAGTTAATTTCCCTGGAAAAGACCCTGATGTTGGGAAAGATGGAGGGCACAAGGCGAAGGGGACGACAGAGGACGAGATGGTTGGATAGTGTTCTCGAAGCTACCAGCATGAGTTTGACCAAACTGCGGGAGGCAGTGGAAGACAGAAGTGTCTGGCGTGCTCTGGTCCATGGGATCACGTAGAGTCGGACACGACTAAACAAAACAACAACAGGGGAAGGGGCTGAAGATTCTCAGCCCAGCCCAAAAGTCTTGAGGGTTGCCACAAGTGATGGTGGAAGAGAGGTTGAGAGTATTTGGGTAAAAATTGTAGGAGAGGGAAACAACAGCAACTTTTCTGTGTGAGTCTTCTATAGACCACAAAGCCATACTGAAGACATGGCTGATGCCTTTCTAGAACAGATTAACAAACATTCAGAAAAGAGAGATACAGTAGGGAAATTGCAGTCAAACATAACTACGCATAAGTGCTAGTTACCGCACAAAGGGTTAAGAAAATAGAGCTGGATTCCTAGACTCTGCTATGTCCCCCCTTCTCCGATGAGAAAGTGAAGCCTTCTCTTCCTGTTCCCACTCGTTCCACTCCATGTAACTGACAAAGGAAAATGTTTCTAAGCAAGCTCTAAGCTTAGAGCACATGTTTGAAGTTATATTTCTGTGTTTTCTACCCAAAAGTATTCTGCCTATGTTCTCCTTGCTGCTGCTTGGATAAATGCATGAATCTGACCTTTGGAATGTTTTGTAAGTAAAGTGTTTTAAACTTACTTAACAGGGTGTGGTGTGTTCATTGTAAGAAGGGTAGAAAGAGAGCAGCACTGTTTGCAAGTGGACTAGATGGCATAAAAGGGTCTAACAACCTATATTCCTAGGACTATACTACTGCTTGACTTTTGTGTAAGTTCTACTACTGGGGACTCTCTCTTGCTGGCGGGTGAATTTAGCCCTGTGTTTTGAATCCAGGCACCCAGCCTATTATTTTGCTATTTACCCCACACATGTGGGTCACAGGGATTCATATTCCACCGCTCACCCCCCCAATAAATATGATATCTATGATATTCAAGAATTTTGCTCACTTGAACAGCAGCCAGCCATGCAATACACTGGAGGTGAGGAAGGGATTACACAGCTGGTCATTTCCATCACATATCTGAACAAAATGGAGATCAAGTGTCCAGCAGGACATGGTACTGTGGCTCTGACCCAGGGATCCCCACTTCATACCATCCAAGATCTCTGCAAATAGACTATCGAAATAAACTTGTCGAGAGGCAGGATATTCTTAAATGTCACCTACCTTTTTGCCCAGATTGCATATGTATACCATCGTTGTATGTTCTCCTGTTGGAGGGAGTTTGGGATATAAATCTGATTAATAAATCATAATGTTTGACTGAGTTTCTCTGAAGGGTTTTCAGTGAATTGCATCTGGAAAGGCTGCTGTGTTTCCTTATGTGATGCTTCTCTTCATCGTTGTAATCATTATCCTCCAGGGCTCCCTGACTCTGAGACAAGAAGCATCAAAGGACGTTGCATGAAACTCAACCACTGCTTCCTCATCGCTGCAGCCCTGCCAACTCGCTGGGCTGATTTACAAGCAAGGTTCCTTCTGAGGCTCTTTTATTTCTCTCTCTGCGTCTACAGATTTGGCGCCTTCCGCTCCTGCTAGACCCTGGGTGTTGGTTTCCTTAGGAGCAGACCCATGCATTCCTACATCATGGCATCACCAGACAGGATGAGTGGCTCAGATAATGGACTAGACGAAGCAGAACTCAGCATCACTCTCACCCTTCGAATGCTTATGCATGGGAAGGTAAGTAAACAGAGACTCCCGTATTAAGTTGTGATCCTGATTTCGTTAGCGTCCATAGCAGACCTCTCATTGGATCAGATTTGCTGTTTGCCTTGGCAGGGAACATTGGCTATGATGCAAACCTAAGTCCCCAAACTCAGTGAGCCACTACCCTGCTTCTAAATCAGACGGGTGTCTTGAAATACTAGTCACATACACACCATATATTTAATGTACACGATTCTCCCTCCAACTTAGTTAAGGGTGCTGGGAGTTGTAGTTCTTTTATAGGTAAACTACAGTTCCCAGGATTCTTTGGGGGAAGCCATGTGCTTTAAATGTATCGTGTGGATGTGATTCTTTCCTACACACAATACCTTTTCTGTGTGGGGAATCTCGAGCTGGAATTACAAAATAGACTCAGCCGAAGACGTTGCCAAGGTGTCTGGATTAACATGTAACTTCACCATAACATTTTTTATTTGTAAAGGCTCCAAGAAGGAAGGTCGTGAGATTGCCAATGTCTGGGAAGAGGGATATCCCTCTCATTTAAGCTGTCAAATCCTGAATGACCCATGTTTTCCGTTGGGGGGGGGGGAAGTGCTGCCTTCTCATTTTGTGGCAGAAAGTATACAGACATTGCCAAACTCCTGCTGATTTGTAAATCTCCCTTAATTCAACTTCTCATGTCTTTTGTGTTTCTGCAGGAAGTTGGCAGTATCATAGGCAAGGTAAGATTGATGTAGGCTCTTGTGTGTGGCGGCTGTTTCTTTGTCGCATCTGTGAAGCTGCGGAAGTCTGACGAACTTTGTTGTCCTTAATCCAACAGAAAGGAGAGACTGTGAAGAGGATACGGGAACAAGTAAGTGTGGAAGTAATTCCATTCTAGATTGGAATTGGCTGCCGGTCAAACATGGAATGGTGTAGAATGCCTATACGATTCTGGACATTTTATTTGGTAAAAGGTTTTTTTGTGAGGAAAGTGGATTATCCTGAATGAGAATTGAGAAGAGTATGCAGAGAAATGTGAAGAGGCACAAGGCAGGGGAGCAGCCTGCACAAGCCTTGTTTGTCAGCATTTCTTTAAAATTCAGATGAAGTTTAAAGTTACATGATTATTCTACTGAGGGGAAATACCATAGCTCAGTGGTAGATAACATTTTGTGGATGCAGAAAACTCCAGGTTCAGTCCCTGGGGTTCTCCAGGGAGGACTGTGATTTGGGAAAGGCTTTTTTCCTCTGAAATCCCAGAGAGGGAGCCACTGTGAACTATTGTCAACAATAGAGTTAGATAGATCTGTTATCTGACAAAGGTGAGGTGCAAATCAGTGACTTGAGATGCAGGGAGATTCCACCACCACCCCACTCCCTCACTGCTTTTCAAGACACATTTGCTGTACACACCAGAGAGGGGGCAGGGATGTCTTTGCTGTACACACCAGAGAGGGGGCAGGGATGTCTTTGCCCGGTGCAAATTCCCTGATTTGTTTCTCTGTGCTTTTAATCCCCTGAACACCTATTCAGTGAAGTGTCTGTGCATGTGCAACAGCTATCTCAATGGTCATGTGTGCACAGCCTCAGTGTGAGGCAGCTTCCTGTGTTCCTTAGAGAGGCAAGCATCTCTCTCTCTCTCTCTCTCTCTCTCTCTCTCTCTCTCTCTTAGCTGCATGTCTGTAATATGGAACCCATCTTACAGGATTCTTATATCAACAAAGCATTCTAAGCACTTGGTAGCAATGTTAAATTATTATTAATGACATTACTCGTGGTTTGCTTTCTTAGAGTACAGCCAGGATCACAATTTCAGAGGGATCCTGTCCAGAACGGATCACCACTATCACAGGATCCACTGATGCAGTTTTTAGAGCTGTTTCCATGATTGCTTTCAAGCTGGAGGAGGTAAGGTGGTCACTCAGTTCTACCTCCACATGGCGGTGTCTCCTCCTCAGTTTCAGTGCCTTGTACAGATGAAACTGGAGGATGTGGTACCAAAAGAAATAATCAATCAATCAATCAATCAATCTTTATTATGGTCCAGAGACCGAACAAATCATTACAAAGCAATGCACAATTCAGGCAGCCTACCTGCAGGTTAAACAAGCATTTTGTTCAGACTTAAAGATAGGGATCATTGGTTCTTGCAACCACCGATAAAAACTTTGCCACTGCTGTTCTAGCGTTTGTCTGGTCTTCCAGTAGGAACCTGACACAGTGAGCCTCTGATTTTCCCAGGAAAGGTACCAGCAAGGGTAATATCAGTTCAGCCCTGGCTTGCTCGTATTTACACAGTGCAGCAAAATATGTTTTATAGAATCGATGTCTTGAGCACACGAGCAAAGTCTGTCCTGGTAGGGAACTCCTCTCAACCTGCCATCCAACACTGCAGAAGGAAAGACATTTAGTCTGGCTTTGGTGAATAACCTTCGATAATTTGGTACTGTCAGGTTTTTAATGTAAGGTGTTAACTTAAAGACATGCCCATATTGTACTCCTACTGCCAACGGAATACAGACTGTGTGTGATCGAGATCACAAGTCACTGTGTATATTATCCCATAATCTTTGCTTTGACGTCTTTAGGGCGCATTCATAACCCAGGTAATAAAGTTGGGGGGGGGTGACAGACCAATAGAGGTGGCTTTTCTAGCCATGGTTTTCTGCCATTTGCTGACAAACTCCTCATTGGTCAGGTGTTGGTATCAGACCATCTGAGTGTCACAACAGCAGTGGTGTATCCGGAATGGTCCTATGCACACTACTACCGAAAAGGTGATTCTGAAGGAACCCACTGAATCTTGAACCTCATGGTTTTGTTTCAGGATCTGGGAACAGGAGCTGCCAATGGAGGAACTGTCTCCAGGCCACCTGTCACACTGAGGCTGGTCATTCCAGCCAGCCAATGTGGCTCGCTCATTGGCAAAGCAGGAGCCAAAATCAAGGAGATCCGAGAGGTAAAAACTTTGGAAATCAGTTATCTGAGGTCTTCTCCTATTGCTTCATTCCTTTCCAATCCATGGACAAGAACACCTGTTTCTTCTACGTTTGTTTTCTGTACCTGAACCATTTTTCTTCCTAGTTTTCATATTTGCTACTCATCCTAAGCTACCTGAGTGAACTTTTTATAAAACTAGGGTCTGCCATTCCCCTGCATTAACTCCCCAGAACTTCCTCTTCTCACCCCATGCAGGTACTAAGCTCACTTTTCACCTTCCCAACCCCATTTCTAGGCTTCTCTCATCTGTTCTGCAGCTCCACTTCACACCTGTTTCCATCTCCCCCCCCATGTCCACGCCTCCCCCTCCTTTTGTTCAACCCCCCCCTTGTACAGAAACCACCCCCATGGGAACCTCCTGCTTCTTCCTCCACCCACACATTGCAAATATGAAGCACCCTTTTTACCTTCTGTCCAGTTCTGAAGCCACCATCTCCGCCTATTCTGCAGTCTTGCATGCTCATGCTTTCCTCTTCAACCCCATTTCCTTGCCTCCTTCTCACCTTTACTCCTTTCCCCCCCTCCACCTGCCTCCTTGCTTTTCTCAATTCTTTCATGCACATAGATCACCCCCCCCTGCATTTCCATGCCTTATGCCAGGGGTCCTGCAACACGCCTGTCACGATGCCCATGGTGTGGCCCAGTCCCGCTGCCGGCTAGCTGGCCCCTCTGTCCATGGCTGTGGCAGGTTTACCTCAGCCGCAGGTGGCAAGACTTCAGATTGGCTGCAGGAACTTCCTACAGCCAATCCGAAGCTGCACTAGCGTTGCCGCCTGCCCAGAAGCCGTGCCAGCGTCGCGGAAGTCAGTCTCCGCGTGGCGAGGCATCCGCAGCGCGCAGGGACTGACCGAGCGGGCAGCAGGTTCCGCGGGCTGGATTTATGAGCCTGGGTAGGCGCATCCGGCCCCCGGGCTGTAGTTTGCCAGCCCCTGCCTTATGCACTCTCCTATTGTGCAGCCGCTTTTGCGCACACAACATTATCACCTTTGTCCCCCGTTTCCTACTTCCTACTTACAAATCTCCCTTCCCCACAGACCTCCCACATTTCCATGCCTTTTCCTCTCTCCTGTTCTGCAGTCTCCTATCAGCATGGGGTGTGTGTGCAAAGCTGATATATGTTACTGCATCTTTAAGAGCAAAGCTGTCATTTGGCTTGCTCAGTTAGGAAGAATTAAATGGATGGGTGTGTGTGTGTGTGTTTGTGGTTGGTTGTTAATAACATATTGTCAGGGACTCTTAATGAGTGTGTGGTGGAGGGTTGGAGACTGACCCAGGGGAGACTGATTAATGGGGTTTGGTGCCCCTCGTGAGGCACGAATGAAAGAGGAAAATTCTGAAACTGCCATTCCCCCCCCCTTTCACTGTCTGTCCTTTCTCACTGAACTCAAACAGCGGCAGAAATTTGAGTAAAGCCGAGATGGAGGGTCACAGAAATGAAAACTGGTTTTAAACAACAGCAGAGGTTTGAGGAAAGCAGGGATAGAGAGACATTGAGGAGTTGTTTATTTTTTTAAAAAAAAACAGTTTTAGAGAAATAGAAGAGGTGGTATACAAATTTAATAAATAAGAAATAATAGTAATAAACAAAATTTTGAGCTAAACTACAAACATTTCTTTTGAGAGGGTCTCATGAATTCTTTTAATTGCATGTAGATTGATCTCTGCTTAGGAAATCATACCATTAGAAGAAGACTCTGAAATACTTCCCTTCTAGTGATCCATGTGCTGTTTCTGACCTGGCTGTTCTCTGGGTGGGCAGGGTTCATCAGAATGCCCAGAAAGACTGAGAATTTGCTTTTGGCCCCTAACGCAGACCACAGGAGCACAGGTCCAAGTGGCTGGAGACCTCCTCCCCAACTCCACCGAGAGGGCTGTGACAGTCTCTGGAGTACCAGATGCCATCATCCAGTGCGTGCGACAGATCTGCGCTGTCATCTTGGAGGTATGGGTCGTTTTCCTTCCACCTCATCAGGCAAGGACAACATTCTGCAAATTGTGGAGAAGTGGTCCCGCAAGTCTGGGTATCTACATCTCCAAATTAGACTGTCCTACATTTCCTTCCAAACATGCATGGAGAATTGTTAGAAAATGCCACCCCACTGGTGATAATACTTATAAGCTGGCTGCACCCCTTCCCAGCTGGTTTTGCTGTACCTTTCTTTCCACGGATCTGATGCTTCTGTATCTTGGGTCCCTGCTTCCTTTTCCTTTTCCTGCACTTCTCTTTCAGGTGGAGCCCATCACTGTGGCTTTGTTCAGAGACCAGGGTTATCAGCCGTATCTAGCGTAAGGAGCAGTACTGCCTTTGTGACATCGGCTGCCATTGCACCAATCAGCCCTATCAACTATCATTGCCCCCTTTGTTAGGACACAGTTGAGAATGGGGATTGGTGCTATGGGTGCTGATGTCACAAACATAAGTCACATTGGCTTTCCCCCCCTTAAAGCAGAAGAAATCAGTGATATTCCCCTTTGATTTTTTCAACCCTCCAAAGCAGATTTGGGGAGCGGGTGCATATGGTGTGTGGGGGGGAGTTCCGTTTTGCTAGTGTAAATCCTTAACAGCTGGATATTGCCCAATATAATTCATTTATATCATTGTAAATCTGACCAAAGAAGGGGTGTATACCTGCAAGCACCAATATCCTCCTACCTATCTGCCTTTCTACTCTAAGGGGGAAATGTACCGGATCCCTGTAACTTTTCCCCTGTAAGGAGGAGAAGAACAGCTGGGTGGGTGTTTTGATTACAAAAAAAAGTGTCCATGGGGAAAGGGTTAAACATACTTTCCCTACTATGCTACTGTTGAATCAGAAAGAAGGAAAGAAAGAAAGAAAGAAAGAAAGAAAGAGGGGAGAGGAAGGAAGGAAGGAAGGAAGGAAGGAAGGAGGTGGGACATAGGAAGCTACCTTGCACCAATTCTGAACTTTGCTCCATCTATCTCTATCTCTGAGAACCAGATTTTGCCTTCTTCTGTGTGGCAGCCCTTCCAAGAATTTGAGGAGTGCCATCATGTCCCCCTCTCAGTCTTCTCTTCTCCAAAATAAACATACCAGCTCATGAGGAAAGACTGAAAGAACATACCTAGTCCCTTCAACCTTTTCCTCATGGGACTGTTTTTTTTTAAAAACTGCATGCCACCTTTATTGGTCACCTCTGAACCAGGCATCCCTAGGCACTACTCATATCATACCAAACAGGAGTTAGTTAAAGATAATCCCAGCCAGTGCCTATTTTGCAACTCAAAGAAATCCATCGGAATGCACAGGAAGTAACAAGGGTACCATGGCCATTAGGATGTCATGGGTGGGGGGATACTGATGGGATGGGATGGAAGTGGTATAGCGTATATGGTACAGTGATTCTTCCTTTGGTTTCCTTCAGTCTCCACCAAAAGGCGCCACTATTCCCTACCACCCCAGCCTGTCCTTGGGATCAGTTCTTCTTTCAGCCAATCAGGTAAGGGACTCATAAATTCACAGGAGACCATTTTTCGGTTGAGGTTGAAAAGAGAGAGAACCGTTAGGCTTTGGTTCTCTTGTTACTCTGTAATCAAAGGGTGGGTAAGACTGCGGCCCTCCAGATATTGTTGTGCAATGACAACTCCTTTCTTCACTGCCCATTGGCCATGCTGGCTGGGGCTGATGGGAGTTGGAGTTCAACAACATCTGGAGAGCCACTGGTTTCCCCCACGCCTACATTCACCACCACATCAAATATCAGTCCAGATTAGAAAGTATCAGAATGACTTAATGGGTATCGATTTTACCTTTCCACCTTGACTTCTGGCTTCTTCCGTGTCATGTGACCAAGCACTTGCTGTCAGATCCCTCAGAGACCATATATACAAGGACCATCTTGGCTGTGAGTCCTAGGAAACTTGCTCCCTGCCTTGCAGGCTTTTCCCCATCTGGCCTGGGAGGGCGGGGCCCTGACTGACTCCAGCTGCAAAAGCTGAGGCTGCTGAACAGACTCTTGGTATTGATAGGGGGTTTTGTGGGCTGGGGGCGGGGAGGTGTTGCTGTTGTTGCTGTTAATTTTTTGTATGCTTAAACCAGCAATAGCGCAATGGAATCTTTTAAAGTTTACAGAGAAAAAGGAGAATCTACGTTACGGTGAACCAGTTTATAGGACGTGGGGATTTAACATGGATATTTTGCTATATGCCTAAAATAAGATCTGCTATTTTGTTAAAAGTTGTTTATCCTTGCAAAATTCTGCCCTGCTGCGATGCACACAGTCAGGTTTAACAAATGTTGCCACTCAAGCACATCTGAGTATTGACAGCCAGTAAAAAGCAGAACTTATTTACCAGATGACCAAAAATTGAGGCTGAAAAGCGTTGATTGGCTGAATAAAATAAAATTACAACTGTATAAGAATAATTTATCTCAGTGAAATGGTGACCCAGTTCCCACACAATGGCACTAGACAATAAGCCTAAAGCTTATTGGTATCACCAATCAGATTATATTAGGTGTAAATCTGTAATGTGCTGCCCCATTTCAAATCTACTTTATGCTTTCATTTACTATGAAATGATGCATAACTGATTTGAATTTTATATTAGGAGGAACAATTACTCATTTGCATTTCAGCCAGATGAAATCATCATAATTTGGAGTCAATAGAATAAATTATTCTGAATTTAAGTGAAATAGAAGACCTAATTGGAAATACCACATATATTAAAGATAAGAGGGAGAATTGCACAGATACATCTGACTTCATTATTTACTAGTGTCCTCCTAGTGGTGCGGCTATAAAACTGCTTGCACATTTGCATAGCTAAGCAGGGTCCAGTATGGTTTCAAATTAGATGGGGAATCGTGTGTTGAGATTCCTGCATCACAGGGGGTTGGGCCAGATGACCCTCGGGATCCCAACTCTACAAGTCTATGATTATAATTATCATCTATGTTTTATTCTACAATCATTTTCTAAGGTTTTGTTTGTTTTATGTTCTAAAAGTTTAAGCTTTTGGTGAGCAAAATGAATGAGATTCACTCCTCCCATATTGCTTATTCATTTGTTTCTGGGTAGGATGATGAAACTGCTTATGGGATTTCTACAGCCTCTTTCTGGCTGGCCCTAGTCCTTTCCTCACCTTAAAACTGACATTTCAGTAACAACAGTAGTTACCAGGAAGTCTACCTTCTCGCAAGCTTCTCCCCCCACCTCCCCAATTTCTTATTTATTTAAGTCCTTTGAGATTTACCATCAACAAAATACAAATGACAAGTAAGCTCATCCATTCTAATTCTCAGTTCTGGCACCAGCACCCAGTGTAGGTAGGCATTTGCCAAGGATCCTTTACACCAGCAAGGGCCCCTGGGGCTGATGCCTTGCCTTGGCTCCCTGAGCTCTTGCTGGCCCTTAAGCACCTGGCAGCACCAGTGTCCCTGCAACCCCACTCTCTTGCTTGCTAACTTGTGAGCTGACTTATCCTGTGCTGTAATGAGCCAGGAGCCACATGGCTGCTCTGCTTCCGGTTCATTTCAGCACCAGCACTGTGAGGGTAAGCCCACTCTCATGGGCAAGCACAAGGGGGAATCTCTCACAAACATGTGCGTTTACCTGGCAGCGATGCCTCATGAGCCTGCACAAGGGGGAGTGGGAGGCTGGTGGCTACTAACAGTGCTACCTTTGCCAGAGGGTCAGAGTGGTGGCAAGCACTGGCAGGCAGCAAGGGTAGTTTCCCCAGCCCCCTTCCAAAATCTGGAACTGGGCCTATTCATTCTCTTACACTGTTGATAGCGCTGTTGTCCTTTGTCATCCTTTTTTCAGGGATTCTCCATGCAAGGACAGTACAGTGGTATGTCTCAAGCAGAGGTAAGTCAAGCTTTACAAACTAAAAGGAGGCTCCATTTTGAATTCACACTTCCAAGTAGTTCAATGTATAGCTAGGACCAGCTTCTTCAAGCCTTCGCCTTCCATCATTCCCCATGACTTCTTGTCCTGCTTACCTGTTCCGGACTTGCCATTCTGCCTCCCCATTCTGTCGCTCCTGGCATCCAAATGGCAAATCCTGGTGCCTCCAGATATCTTTCTTTGGCGATCACTCGTAGCCGAGTAAGATTGTCTTCAATGAACACAGTCTTAACAGTGAGTCCATAAGTGACTGTGGAAGCCAGTTCTGGATCAACACGTCCTTCCACAGTGGGGACATAGGTTTCCTGGCGGGAGTTGATCACGGTGAGGGTTTGCCAAGCGTGCCTTCCTCTTAGCACGCTCCTGAGTTTGAGCGTCTTCAAAGCTCATGACACCTTTGGTAAAGGCTGTTCTCCAATTAGAGCACTCACAGGCCAGTGTTTCCCAATTGCCAGTGTTTATACTACATTTTTTGGATTTGCCTTAAGAGAGTCTTTGAAACTCTTTTGTTGACCACCAGGATTACGCTTACCATTTTAAAGTTCAGAATAGAGTAGTTCCATTAGAAGACGATAATCAGACTTCCACACAATACGACCAGTCCAACAAAGTTGAAGAATCATTGCTTCGACACTGGTGATCTTTGCTTCCAGACATAGCTGGGCTCCAACTCCCATCAGCCCCAACAGGCATGGCCAATGGCTAGGCTATGGATGATGGGAGCTGTAATCCAGCAACGTTTGGAGAGTACCTTGTTGGGTAAGGCTATACAATAATTTATGACAGCAGGCAGCACCACTGGTAACTTTCACTTTATTCCATTTCATATACCATATTTTTCCATGTATAAAATGATGCCTTTTGCAAAAAAAGAAGAAAAAGGCAAAAATTGGATGTCATCTTATACACGTATAGTGAATGCAGAGGGGGGACATGTGATTAATGGCAGCAGCAAGCAGGAAATTGGCACGGTGATTGGGCAGGTGATTGGCTGCGGCTGCGGCAAGGCCTGCTGGTGATTGGCTGTGGCTGCAGCAATTGGGCAGGCAATTGGCCGCTACGGCAAGTGGACGGGTGGGCTGTTGGTGGCAGTGAGTGGACAGACAATTGGCGGCCGTGGTGAGGTGTGTGATCAGCAGTGGCTGTGACAAGTGATCGGCAACGGCAGGCAGGCGGGTGAGCGATTGGTGGATGTGACCTTCCCCCCCCCAAGCTAAACTTAATTTCGGTTAAAAAAAAATAGGGGCGTCTTACACATGGGGGTGTCTTATACATGGAAATATATGGTAATTAAATTTCACATGCTCAGTACTATACCTCAGGAGTAGCCAACGCTTGTATTCTAGGTGTATGGCTGACCCATCTACTTCCTAATGTGAGCAGGTAGATGGGAACGCAGGTTTTGCTGTCACTCCACTGACTTCTTCCTCTCATCTAGGTGTCGAAGTTGCAGCAGCTTTCTGGGCAGCCTGTCTCATTCGCTTCCTTGGGACAATCTCCATCAATAGTAGCAGGTGAGGAGCCCCAAAGAGCTATGAAGCCACTTAAACTCCCACAATCCTCTGTGGCAGACTATGGCCCTAGGGGCTTAGTGAGCCTGTGCTCCAGCTGCCTTTAGGCAACAGGTCTCCACAGAAAGAACATGGTGCACGAATAATTGGCCCTAGAATGGGGAATGCAGGACCTTGGTCTTTTTTCAAAGGCTGGATCAGCACTCTTATGCTAGAGTGGGATACCAGAAGGAGAACTGGAGCATTTATCTTCTGACTCAGGAAAAGCTGTGGCCATCCAGATATTGCTGGACTACAAAGCCCATCGTCCCTGACCATTAGCCACACTGTTTGGGGATAATTCGCATTTCAGTCCAACGGTATCTTGGAAAGTCACATGTTCTGCATCCCTGCTCTGTATTTTATTTTATTTTTTAAAAAAGCACAACACTGGATAAATACAAGACTAAAAACGGGAGTGCACTCTCTGGCATGTGCACACACATAAATAAGGGAGGTGGGTATCATTTTTTTCTGAGAATCTTGAACTCTTGGTTACAAAAACAACAAAAGAATATGAAGGCAAGTGTACTTTTTCGTACAAGGGAATGTGGATTCACTCATACATACTTACAATTGCCAGGGGAAAGATGTAGACATACCCTCCCCCTCTCTCTCTCACCCCACCATACTTGTCAACAGGATTTTTTTTAAATTCATTGTGAAAAGTAATCCAAGGATTTTCCACCTAGGATTTTTTCTTATTACGTTAAAAGAACAGCATTAACCAATGGGAGTCTGCATCAGACAGGAGGAGGGCAGGACAGTCTCCCTTAGTCTAAAATTAGTCCGGTGTAATGTGACCCAAGCAAAGTGGCATAAAACAAAAGCCTCTTCTTGGAGCTTCTGATGGCTTTGCAGTAGCTGGGAAACGCTCCAGTCCTGTTTACGTGCCTCCTGCTCTTTGCACTGTGCGGTGCCTGGAAAGGATTCTTTGGGTTTCCCTTCTTCTGTAGCCTTGTGATGTGGTCATCCTAGCGCTCCTCCTTTTAGGAAGGCAAGAAAGAGCCAGGACAGAACAGCCCCAGTAACGTTGTGCTTCTTTTCTCCCTTTTCAGCCCTGGACACGAACGCTCAGAATAGCTCTCAGGAGTTCCTGGTTCCTAACGATGTAAGTTTGCCTCTACAAACTACAGTTCCCAAATATATTTTGGGGGTAGTCATGTGCTTTAAATGTATGGTGTACATTTAGTAAGCTCACACACGTGTCCACAGAGGTCTTCCTTGGTGCTCATAGGGTCCTCCCCATCCCACTTGGTGCTTGAAAGAAGCTTTGTATCGCAGCCAAAGGGAATAGGTTGTGGTGTGTGTTGAGTTGTGTGTGTTGTGCCCATTATAGTTCCCCCGGTTTGCAAATGTGTGCATGGGCCCCAAAAGGTTATAATCAGAGCCAAACCCATTCCACTCTTTATGGAGATCTTCAAAGAGTGATTCCGTTCAAACAAAAGTAGAACAGCCCTAAATATTTTGCTGCAGAGTCCTTTGGCTTCTTTCTCAGTCAAAACTAGGTTGGAAAAGGGGGCAGGGCTCTTGCAGTTTCAACTGTTGTGTAGAAGAGGAATTTAAACCAGGTGTAGCTTGTCATGCAAACTACAGTGGTACCTCAGGTTACAGACGCTTCAGACTCCGCTAACCCAGAAATAGTACCTTGGGTTAAGAACTTTGCTTCAGGATGAGAACAGAAATCATGCGACGGCGGCAGTGGCAGGCCTCATTAGCTAAAGTGGTACCTCAGGGTAAGAACAGTTTCAGGTTAAGAACGGACCTCCAGAATGAATTAAGTTCTTAACCCGAGGTACAACTCTTGAATTAAGTTCTTAACCACTGTACAACTCTTGAACTTTTGCATCAGGGCACCTTCCATGAAGCTCCCTCATTTGGTGACAGACCATTTAGGAACAGTCTTGGAGTACAGTTTCCTAGCAAGCTGTGAACCCTCCTGCCAGTACTGTTACCCAGCTTGCAAATGTTCAGTGTTTCATCAAAGCATGTGATCTGCTGCTCAGCCATGGTCCTTGAAAGGAAGATAAGTTCAGCAAAGTCCCGGGTTGTTTTATCTATCCTCACTCTCACACAAATTCCAGAATCAAGGGCTACTGTCTCAAGTCCATCCCTCACAAGCCTTCTCTCCTCCACACAATTGCCATTGTACCTTCAAAACACATTAAAGGAAAGTCTTCCCCAAGAGAATCTTGGGAACTATCAGAGCTACGATTCCCAAGTACAGTTCCCAAGATTATTAGTATGTACACAGACGTGTTTATGCTCCTGTGCTTTAACAGCAGCCTGGCATGGAGAGACATTAAGCAGGTGAAGCTTATCATGGCCCAGAGATAAATGGTGGGAAAAGAATGGGCAGTGATAAACAGTCCTCTGAGAGAGAGGAGCATCAGCCGTGGGAAAGGTTAACTTCCTCCGACTTCTTCGCCATCACTCCCTTGTGAGCTGTCCTTCGCTCTCTCTGTGTGTTTCTGTGGAAGCTGAAGCCCAGAAGGGGTGAATATGATAAGAGAGGAATGTGCCAGCATTTCTTGTGCCCACCCACTTGCCAGCCCGGCTGCCAGTGTCCCAGGCCTGCTCTGCAGATGTCAGCATGTGTTTCTGGGCACACAGCAGGCCGTTGTAGCGTCTCAGAAGGCAGGAAACGAGTGGGCAGGAGGGCAAAGCTGACCTTTACTTCTGCCCCCCGACCCTGAGTGGGGAAAAGTAGCTCTTTCTGAAGTTTTTGTTTATGGAACAAGCCTCATGAAACTATCTGGACTGTTTTATTTTTTAAATAGGCCAATTCCTGCCACAGTGTGGTAGGAACCCTGAACTACATGGCTCAGTTCATGTTTTCCACTCCCTTGAGAGTGAATAAAAATGGCTAAATCTCAGGCTTGGAAAGGTAAAGTGTAGATAAGTCTGAAGCCTTGATGGGTTCTGGCTCAGACTCATCCAATACTGAACAACAATAAATCAAGCAGACCATTGTGTACTATGTTGTTGTTGTTTAGTCGTTTAGTCGTGTCCAACTCTTCGTGACCCCATGCACGCCAGGCACTCCTGTCTTCCACTGCCTCCCGCAGTTTGGTCAAACTCATGCTGGTAGCTTCGAGAACACTGTCCAACCATCTCGTCCTCTGTTGTCCCCTTCTCCTTGTGCCCTCAATCTTTCCCAACATCAGGGTCTTTTCCAGGGAGTCTTCTCTTCTCATGAGGTGGCCAAAGTATTAGAGCCTCAGCTTCACGATCTGTCCTTCCAGGGAGCACTCAGGGCTGATTTCCTTAAGAATGGATAGGTTTGATCTTCTTGCAGTCCATGGGACTCTCAATTGTGTACTATAGGTCAGGCTCATTCGCTCACTCAAGAGTTGCCTAAAATGAGTAAACGCTTTCTGTTCGCTTTGTCCAGTTCTGTCCACTTCTTAGGCGATGAGGTTTCCAGCGCGGTTCTACCCCAAAGACTGATCCTTCCTTTCCCCTCCTAGCTCATTGGCTGCATCATTGGCCGCCAGGGCAGCAAGATCAGCGAGATCCGGCAGATGTCCGGAGCACACATCAAGATTGGGAACCAGACCGAGGGCTCTGCTGAGCGTCACGTGACCATCACCGGCACCCCAGTCAGCATCACTTTGGCTCAGTACCTCATCACAGCCTGGTAAGAGCCATTAGGACTGCTGGGCAGGTCAAGTGGGGAGTAACGCAGCACTTGCGCAGCCGTCTCGTTGCAGCTTCTTCCTGCTGTGCCCAAGCCTGTGGCCTCTTAGATGGACAGCTTTGCGGAGAGCAAGTGACAGCGCCTTGCTGTCATGGCTGAATTTGCCCGTTTGCAAACACTTGGCCCTCTGCTCACGAGACAGGAGTGCTAAGCATAGCACCACGAAGTGTTCTCATTGCTTTGTTGTCTGTCTTTCACACTAATGCCTGCCTGTCTCTGACACACATGAGAGTAACCAGGCCTTGAGTTTCTCAGGAGCCACCATGATTTCTAGTATCCTTGCCTACAATATGTTGGGCATCAATGTTCCCTTTGCAGCTGCAAAGCACTCTTATACCGCTTTAAGCATCATGGCTTCCCTCAAAGAATCCTGGGAACAGTGGTATGTTAAGAGTCTCCTAACAACTCCCGGCACCCTTAACAAACTACAGTTCCCAGAATTCTTCGGGGGAAGCCATGATGCTTAAAGGTAACAGAAGAGTGCTTTAAATGTCAAGTGTGGATGTGACCTTAGTTCAGTGCAGTAAGAACTGCTGTGTCACAGAAGGGAATTCTCCCGTCCTGTCCAAAAGATAACCTCACTTAAACAGAGCAACATTTGTCATTGGTCACTGTTGTGACCTGGCATTTGGGATGCTTCAAGATTTAGAGCAGGAAATAGCCATTCACAGTTCAGGGATCACCACCACTACAGGGTGCAAGTTTTCAAAGCGTGGAACCCATCATTGATGGATGCATGTAAGCGTTTTCGTAATCAGTTTTCCCCGTGGTGATGACCCCAGAACTCATTTCAACTTTTGTTGCATTTGCGTGTTGAAGGAGAATTAACAGCCCCCATCTCCATTCTTTTCCTCCTGGGAGAAGTTAATAGATAAACAGTGCTGTGCATCTCACGTGGAAGAGGTTCTCATTTCCCCAGAAAAACACAGTGGTCTGTCAATGACCTGAAAAAGCCAAGAAGGATATGTGGCTGGAATGCTTTGCAATTCCATGATTGTTTAAATAGGGACCATGACAAGGTATAACATCCTTAACATAGCCACTTCTGAGTTCCAAACAAGCCCTGTGTCATACTGGAGGTTCTCCACATGAATGTAGTCCCAGAGGGAGAGGACTCTGGAGAAGACATTATCTGGAAGCAAAAGCAATTTAGAGTACCTTGTTCACTAGCTCCATTCTTTGTGTGTACCTATTCCTTTGCACATGTCAGCTCAAACACTTGCCTGTGTGTGTGTGCGCGCGCGTGCACGCGTGTGCATATCCATACTTGTATGTATGTATTTTTTTTTTATTAGATTTCAATTTTTCATACACCAACAAAAATATATAAGAAATAAAAAGAAAGAACCAAACAAAAAAGACAAAAGGAAAGGAAAAAGAAAAATACACAAAGAGAAAAAAACACAAAAATGAAAAGAGACCAAAACATAAAAACTAATTATTACATACAATAATTAGGCGTAGGAGGCGTGAGAGGAGAGAGGAGGGAGGGTGGAGGAGAGGGGGGGTGAAGGAGGAGAGGTGGAGAGACGGGGGGAAGAGGACAAAGAGGAGGAGGGGGAGGAGGAGGAAGGAGAAGAGGAAGAGGAGGAAACAGAGGACAAAGACACCCGAATCTAATCTAATTAAAACCGAAACTCGTAACTTACTGACTGAATAGCAAACAAAAGCGATAATGAACTTAAAAATTTTAACATGGAATGTAAATGGCATGAATGACAAAACCAAAAGGAATAAAATTGGTAATGTGTTGAAAAAGAAAAAACTGGATGTAATCTGTATGCAAGAGACCCATGTAGCCAGAAAGCATAAGCACGTATTAGTAAATAAAAATTTAGGAACAGAATTTATAAACGCTACGGCTGAGAAGAAGAAAGGAGTAGTAACATATGTCAACGAAAAATGGGAACCCAAACTGATATATAAAGATGAAGAGGGCAGGATATTGGGGGTTCAAATCAATTTCCAGGGAGAAAAGATTAACGTGGTAAACATCTATGCCCCAAACTCAAATAGGCCAGAGTTCTTCAAGAAATTAGAGCAAGTGCTGCTAGAACTGGAAAATAATAAAACGGTACTACTGGGAGATTTTAATGCAGTCCCGATATTAGAACTGGACAGACAAACAGAAAAGAGTAAACGAAAGCAAGGGAAGTTACCGAAATCATTCCAAGATTTGGAGGAAGATATGGATTTAATAGATGCATGGAGATACAAACATCCAATTGAAAAACAGTTCACTTTTTTTTCCGAGGTACATAAAAGCTGGGGCAGAATAGACCAAATATGGATATCGAGGGAACTCACCTTAAGAACCACAAAATGTGAGATACAACCGAGAACATTCTCAGACCACAACTCGATAATACTGGAAATAAAAGGGACTACGCAGGGAGGCTTCAGATGGAGATTGAATGAACACCTACTAGACGACGACGAGATCATCGAAAAAGCTAAAGCCACATTAAAGGAATACTTCGAACTTAACCTCAACACAGGAACAAATATAGAAGTGGTGTGGGACGCGAGCAAGGCGGTCTTAAGAGGCCTGTTTATCCAGCAAAACAATTACAAGAAAAAAATAAAACAACAAAAAAAGGAGGATATTCTTAAACAGCTAAGGGAAAACGAGAGAAAATTAACAATAAATCCAAAAGATGAAGAAAGCTTACACACAATAAAAATACTACAATCACAATATACATTACTAACGAACCAAGAGATAGAATGGAAAATCAAGATGATGAAGCAAAGATACTTTGAGTCTGCGAACAAACCCGGAAAATATTTAGCGTGGCAGTTAAGGAAGAAACAAAAACAGAACGTGATAAACAAGATAATGGTAGAGGAAGAACTGATAGTGGACCCCAAAAGAATACAAAAAAATTTCCTTAAATTCTACGAGCAGTTATATAAGAAAGGAGAAGAAGACCCAACCAAAATAGAAAAATACCTGGAGAATTGCAAAGGGAAGACTATCACAGAGGAAGAAAGACTTCAACTAAACAGGCCCATAAATATAGAGGAGATTCAGAATGCGATGAAAAAAATGAAACTAGGAAAAGCACCTGGACCGGACGGCCTACCGGCCAAATATTATAAAGTTTTGGGGAGTCAACTATCAACCGTGCTTGGCGATACTATGAATAACATCATTAGAGGAGGGAAAATACCTGATTCCTGGAGAGAAGCTTTCATAACATTAATCCCTAAACCTGATACAGACAAATTGAACGTTAAGAATTATAGGCCAATATCGTTGCTAAATAACGATTATAAGTTATATGCAGACATCATGGCAAACAGATTGAAAAAATGTTTAATAAAGCCAATTCACAAGGACCAGGCGGGTTTTCTTCCAAATAGGTTCCTGAAAGATAATATGAGGCATGTCATAAACATAATAGAATACCTGGAGATCAACAATGATATACCGGCAGCCCTAATATTTATAGACGCCGAAAAGGCGTTTGACAATGTTTCCTGGTTGTTCTTATTAAAATCCATAGAAAAGGCAGGGATAGAGGGCGAATTCCTGAAAGGAATTCAGGCGATATATTCAAACCAACATGCCAAATTGGTCATAAATAATAATCTCACAAACACATTTGAAATTGAGAAGGGAACACGACAGGGATGCCCTCTCTCCCCGCTCTTATTTATAATGGCCTTAGAAATTCTGGCGAATAAGATAAGATCAAAGCCAGAGATACAAGGGATTAAAATAGGCTCAAAAGAATTCAAATTAAAAGCCTACGCGGACGACCTGATATTAACGTTGGGAGAGCCTCAAGGAAGTATCGCTAATGCACTGGAAACATTAGAAGAATACGGCAAACTATCAGGATTTAAACTGAACAAGTCTAAAACAAAAATGTTGACAAAAAATCTGAATAACGAAGCGAAAGGAAAATTAGAGAGGCAATATGGAATCAAAGTGGCTAAAAAAGTAAAATACTTAGGAATTTGGGTTACATCGAAAAATATAAATTTAATTGAAGATAACTATACGGCAACATGGAATAAAATTAAGAAAGACTTAGACGTCTGGAATAGAATCAATCTCTCGTGGCTAGGCAGGATGGAAGCAATAAAAATGAACATATTACCCAAGATGTTGTTCCTGTTTCAAAACATCCCCGTTATTAGAGGGCAAAAAATATTCAAAGATTGGCAAAAAGTCCTCGCGAGATTCATATGGCAGGGCAGAAGGCCCAGGATCAGATTCAAATTGCTTACAGACAGAAAGGAGAGAGGAGGGCTTGCAGTTCCTAATCTAAAATTATACTACGAGGCAGCCTGCTTATGTTGGGTTAAAGATTGGATAACCTTGGAAAACACAGATTTATTAGATCTAGAAGGCGCAGACAACAGGTTTGGCTGGCATGCCTACCTTTGGACAAACAAGGGGAAGGTGCATAGAGGATTCACGAACCATATCATTAGAGGCCCCCTATATGAAGTCTGGGGAAAAAACAAAAAACTGCTAGAGAGGAAAACACCTTGGTGGCTGTCCCCTACAGATATTTTATCAATCAAGAAAACAAACATGGAAGAACAAAGACTGACATATGAAGTCTTACTCGTAAGATCACAAGGAAGCTGGAAATTAAGACCATACGAAGAATTGAAGGAGAAGCCGAAGAGCTGGCTACAGTACCATCAGATCAATGCATTATGGACGGAAGATAAAAAATTAGGAATGGAAGAAAAAAAATCCAAATTCCAGATTGAAATAATTGAAACTAAATTTAAGCTACTATCAAAAATGTACAACATATTACTGGAATGGGACACAAAGGACGTAGAAATTAAAGATGTTATGGTTAAATGGGCGAGAGATTTGGGGTATAACATTGAATATGATAAATGGTTAAAATTGTGGAATGAGGGAATAAAATTTACGGCAAGTGCTGCAATTAGAGAAAATCTAGAAAAAACGGTATATAGGTGGTACTTAACACCAGAAAAATTAAATAGGATGTACAAGACTGGCAATAAGGCCTGCTGGAGATGCAAAACAAAAGAAGGCAATTTTATACATATGTGGTGGACATGTGAAGAAACGAAAAAATTCTGGAATCAGATATATGATGAACAAAAAAAAATGTTTAGATACACATTCCCCAAAAAGCCAGAGGCCTTCTTGCTAGGGATGGTGGGAGAAGAAATTCGAGAAATAGATAAAACCTTATTCCAATACTCAACAGCAGCGGCAAGAATGTTAATCGCCCAAAATTGGAAAAACGCAAATTTACCAACAGTAAGGGATTGGCAATTAAAATTATATGGCTTTATAGAATTGGCTAAGATGACACAAAGAATTAGAAACCAAAAAAATGCAAAGTTAAATGAAGAATGGAAAAATTTTTCGGTCTATATGGAAAGCAATTTTAGAAACTTACCAACTATAGCAGGAGTAATATAAAACTTCCGACGTATAAACAAAAAATCAACACCAGCTGTAATACATAACGTTAAAAATATAACTCGAAACCAGTAGGGAAGGAAGCAGATGTTGTATGTCATACTTGTATGTATGTATTATACAAACTGCACATATCCTCCCACACCTATGCATATTTTTCCATGTGCAAGCTTGTACATGCATATAACAACACATATACATCCAAGTATATGTCCTCACGCGCTGCATTTGTATGTGTAAATTGTGCATGCACGCACGAGTCTCATTCTTTCTCCCTTCTTGTTCTTCAGTTTAGAGACGGCCAAATCTACCTCCCAGACGCCCCCCGTTGACCTCGGCATGACTTTCTCCCAGCCCCTCACCCCTTCGCCAGCCCCAACGCTGACAGCAGTGGCCGCGCCTCCCCCAGCCTTGCTTGGTGCCCCCTATGCCATCTCCCTATCCAACTTCATTGGCCTGAAACCCGTCCCCTTCTTGACGCTGCCTTCCTCAGCCGCGGGGCACAATGGCAGCCTTGCCACCTACACGACCAAGATCTCGACAGCCAATGCCAGCAAGAAGGCTGAGAGGCAGAAGTTCTCCCCATACTGAAACAGGAAGGTGGGGCAGGGAGGGGAAACCTTAGGAGGACCCTCACACGCTTTGTTAGATGGCATCAGCGTCGGGCCGCTCCAAAGCGAGACTACCTGGGGAAAGAGGTGAGGGGGGGAGCCAAATGTGCAGGAAAGGAAGTGTTTGTGGGAGAGGATAACCGAGACAGCTCTTGCAAGCAGTGCTGGCCATGAGACAGTCAGGGAAGTGGTGCTTCTGCAGAGCTCCCACCCGATCCTGGCTAAAGATATGTCTATCATGGGTAAGAGCAATCAAGCCTCATAGTTTTGCTTCCGTGGAACAAATCTCTGCCCCACACTATAAGGTGGTGTTATCCTTTACCTTCCATAAACCTTCCTGATCGCTTTCAGCAATGAAGATGAAGAGGTTCTCTCTCCATCTGGTTTCTTGACATGTTTTCTTTTTTAAGGAAAACATGTTACTTAAAGACAATTGGAACCCCACTCAAATTCTTTGTACTGTATTGATAGAGCTGGAGGTCTTGGGAAAGGTCCCATCTCGACTGTGGCACTGGCTAGAGCTTGTTAGACCTTTGGTGATCCTAACAGAGAACATGCTATGCTACTCTCTCTCATGGGTTGCATTTCCAAGAGCAGAACTGGAAAAGGGTTCTGATTTCTATAGAACTGGAAGCTGTGCATGTCCTAGAAATCACAGAATGTACCAAAAAGGATATTCTTCAGTGTTTTTTTGTTTTTGTTTTTTGCCTAGCACTTCTCTCCTAATATATGACGCTGGCTGTGAGTTCCATTTTAGCTGGATTAGAATACAGGATGGGGTTTTCATGACTGTTCAGCTTGGGCCCCGACCTCCTGCAAGTGGTTGAAGGGAATTAGTTTTCACCAGACATCCCTCTAATATTTAGCATGAACTGGCACAGCGTATGCAAGAATTTGCTGGATCAGACCAGAGCCCCATCCACCCCAACATTATGTTCACCCATTGGCCAACTCAGATGCCCATGGGAAGACCAGAGGCATATAGTTGTCTTCCCTCACTGAGAAACAGAGCAGTTCTTTATAAATATTCCCTATCTGTTACAAGGTAAGAGCTTCCAGCACTGGCAATCCCAGCTGGTCACCTTATCGTATGTGGGCGACATCTCCCCTCATTTAACTTTATGGCAGAAATCCGTCCTCATATATATCTGGCAGGATGTGCGATATCTTGCCATGCCACTCATCTTTGGGTTTATCTCTTGCTGTCATGGGATGACATCTCCAATAAGTGCTTTCTAATTTTGCTCTCATCTCTTGCAGTGCAATCCCAAGCATATTTGCTCCAGAAATAAGCCCTTACCCCTTCCGTCACTCATTAGTGGATATAGGACTGCAGCCTTAGTGAATTCTGCCACATTTTGTTCTCTTTGTTATCAGTATTGTAAGGGCACTTGTCTAGTCAGAACATGCCCATGAGAGTCAAGAGGTGGCGCCCTGAGACCTCAGGTTGAAGCAGATGCCCACCTTGGTGATTTCTGGTTAAAGTTACCAACATGTATGTCTGGCACTTACACTTGCGTCCTAAACAGACGGCCATCACAACAGCATATAATTCATCCAAACCGCACCCCAAAAAATTATCCCCATGGATTAAATGTACCATATAGCCAAGGATTCCATGGCTAATTTCTTAGTTGGTTTGCACATTGGCATGGGTTCACCAAATTGGGTCGGATTGTTGGCTAATTGACAGGTTGTCAAAAGACTGCACAATTCACTGTCAACACTTTATAAGGCATTAAGTGGAAGGTGATTGTTGAACAGACCTGGAGAAAACGGATGAAACGAACACAGCAAAAACTCAACTTGGCTCTTGTAGCCATGAAGTAGTTGGCTCATGATAAGCAAAGGTTAGTAGTCACAGGCCTGTGTGGAGGAAATGCACACCAAAAACGAAACATTGAAATTCTGCATGCGGCCGATGCAAATCCTGGAAAGCTCTTTTCTATGACCAGCATAAATCATACAAATGTGCATATACTTCTCCTATTTTTGTATAATGTTGTTTGCTATTTGGCAATAAAATAAATCCTCCTTTGGGAGGAAGGGCAGGGTATAAATGGTATGAATGAGTAAATAAATAATACTGGATTTGCTAAACATGGCAAAAGCACGGAAGCCTCACCCAAACCCCACTGCCTGGGAATTTTTTGCAGGAGGCTCATCTCAGCCACTGAGAAGCACGTCTCTGCAGCATAGCCAATGCTTTCTCTGTGCTCCTTCAGGAATCACAGGCTACACTCAGCCCTGATTATGTTGGGACTGGTTTACTGAACCAAAGCTGTCAGGGGAGGGAAAAAAGAAGCCAAACAGGCTGCAAAAAGGAGACAATTGAGGTTGATTTGGTGTAGTAGTATCTTTACAATCTCAAGAAGCAACAGGATCTCAGATTTGCCCTCAGTTACACATTGATTTGGTAGCATAGAGTAGACTACCTACGCCTGTTTAAGCACTGATTAAATAGTTTCAGCAGATTCATGTATTTATTGCAGCCTTTCCTCAAGCTGGTGCCCTCTGGGTGCTTTGAACTACAGTTCCCATCATGGCTGGGGCTGACAGGAGTTCTGGCCAGAGGCAACCAAGCTGGGGAATGCTCATTGAATGCGTCAAATTCTCAGGTGGTGTAATTCAGGTTTCCACAAAAACACAGGGGAATGGAGCCAAAATTTCCTATTCCTACAAACCAATCTAACCAGTTGTCCATTTCGCCTTGTTCCCTGGCTGGTCCCAATCTCTCTCACTTCCCTGCATCACTCGCTGGCAAAAAAAAAGCTTCTATCTCTTTTTAACCCTTTTTATTTTTGGCTGCTCCAAGGAATGCCCCACCTCCTATCCCATGATCCTCTTTGGCTTGTCTTTGAAAATGCTGTACATATAATTCTATATTTTTTCCTCCTTTGTAACTTATGATTGATTTAATAAAAATGCAAACTTTGTCAACTCAGAGGGTAATGTGATTAGGATTTTGTATACATTTGAATTAGGCAAAGCAAATTCACACGCACCCCTCAGGCTATTTGCATGACTGAATAAAAAGGGAAAGAAAAGGCTTATTCAGTGTTTTGCCTAAGAAGCAGCAGCAGCTAGATTCTTGCCCCACATCCCAACTGGTGGCTGGGCACCTGGCCTTTCAACCAGATGCAAGACAGTGAGGAAAGAAAGGGCAGGTGAAACGGGTTCTGCTCTTAACACTGAATGCTGAAGAAAACGTCACTTACTGAATTTCTGTTTGTTGTGGAGGAGTCAGAATCCTTATTTGGGGAAGGGGGGAAGCAACTGTGGAGTATGATTCAGATTCCTACTTTTTAATTGATTCGGAATAATTACCACCCAGTGGACATGTCCTAACAGTTTTCTGTGGATTGAAATTTCAACAATTTAGCGGTGAATTGCGGGTTTTCCCAGGGAAAGCAGTGGGGAAAAAAGAATCCTGCTCAGCCCCGTGCCTGAAAGTCCCAAACCTATGCCCAGAAATTGCAGCACAAACAGAAATCTGAATGAGCCGATAGTCAGCCAATTCTCATCTTGTCATCCTCCTCTTCTTCCTCCTCCCTCCTGCTGGATTCTACAAGGGCAACGCTGAGACCTAATGCTGTGTGCACATCATACATTTAAAGTTCACGACTTCCCCCAAAGTATCCTGGGAACTGTAGTTGGTTGAGGGTGCTGGGGACTGTAGCTCTTGAGAGTGGCAAACCATGCTTCCTAGAATTCTTTTGGGGAAAGTCATGTGCTTTACATGTGTGGTGTGTGCACAGCCTGGTTCTAAGAAGGCAGACAGCTGGGGCTGGTTGAAGGCAGGCTGATGTGTTGGTGGGAAGGTGCCTCATTCGCCCTAATGGACCAACCTCCACTGGCTCTCACCATCACGATTGTGAACAAATGGTGCTGGATCAAGCACAGCAGGATCATCCACGTATCAGGACTCTAGACACAAACCCCAGTATACCACGGTTAAAGAACAGGGCCTGGTTTATTTATCATATTACTATCACTCCCTGCCTCTCTCCCTCAAAGAAACTTGTGGGAGCATGCAGGGAGGTTCCCGCATGTTATTCTCACTGCAATCCTCCTTGTGTTCCCTTGGATGCAAGTCCCACTGTTTTCAATGAGATTTCCTCCCTTGTTTAGTAGGTTTAGGATCCACAGACTAAGTTAGGCAGTGGACTGCCCCAGAGTGACCCAGCGACATCAGCAGCTGAATGGGGATTTGAGCCTCGTCTTCTCAGTCTGACATTCTGTCCACAAAGCTGCACTGACCCCTTGAAACAATTCTGTAGTGGTGCTGGAGCTGGGGCCACCACTTCCAAGGTTGCTGCCATGTTCCTAATGCTGCCTATGGAGCCTCTGCCAACGTACGCCAGTGCCACCTTCCTCTCATTTCAGCACCACGCCACCTGTCTTAGGCCATCTCAATAACTTGCCCATGATGGATGTGCCAAAGGAAATGTGGGAGCAGGAGGAGAGGAGAGGTGGCAAAAGGGAGGAATGGCAGCTGCCTTATTGGGAGAGCATTTGGCATAGCAGGCCAGTGTCTAGTGCTCCCTAAGCCAGGCCATCTTCCGTGAGGGCAGCCTGTTGCTATGTGGATGAGAGACATGGGAACCCTCCCTTGCCTTATGCTCTCCGTTGCCACAGCAACCGCAGAAGGGGTGTTTACTTGCCAGCATGTTGGGCTCATGAGGCCAGCTGCAGACATGTGTAACCGACAGAGTGAAATGATAATGTCGCACGCTGCTATAGAGGAATGCTGCGTTTTCATGGGTGGATCAGAGCTTGCAAAAACTGCCTATTGCCAGAAGAAGGCTTCAGTGTGGACCAACCATCCCCTGCTGGAACTGTTTGGTACTTGCCTGGATATAAATTGCAGGGCCTTCCTTTCTGCTAGGTCAGTGGTGAGTAGAGATGGCTGAGAAATCTGATGGGGAACCTGCAGCCCGGCAGATGATGCTGGGCTGTAACTCCTTTCAGACCCAAGCAGCATGGATGATGGGGGCTGGAGTCCAGCAATACCTAGAGGCCCCACAGGTTAGCTATTCCTGCTTCATTATATATCTTTTCCTGCCACTATCCACTCACTGTAGGTGTGTGCAGTATTTGAGGAAATAATCAGGAAATGCTTATTCCTTTCAAACTAGAATGCAGCTGCCGAATGGTCTATCCTAGTAACTACACTCATAACGCAAACTAAAAGTTATCACTAATAAAACAACTAAAAGCAACTAAACAAATAGTGATCAACAGGCTACCTGCAACAGACACAGGAATAATCAGATCAGGGAAAGAATGGCATGCAAAAGTACCCTAAGGCTGGATCGAGACACATCAAAAACACGTTTCAGGAAAACGCGTTGTAAACCTCAAAGTTGGGAATCACAATGGCGAAAGATGGAACTCCACAGCGCCATCTGATGTCACAGGGTTATAACACATATAAAATGCTTTTTCTTTACTAATGTAGCTGAGTCCTATGTCTGGAATACCCTCCCCTCTCAAGTGTGAATGGCATCAACTTTGAGGGAGTCATTTCAGCAATAAGAAACAATGTATGGCTATTCACCCTAGCATTTGCCCAAAGTTTTGTCATTACCTGGCTGGTGGTGTTGGTATAATGTCTGATTTTGTTTTTTAAGTTGAATCTAAATTAAATTTGTTGGTTTTTTTTCTATTTTAATGTCTTTCCTCTCTCTGGGATTGTTGAACAATGAAAAGCGGGGCTAAAAATAATTTAGATGAACATACAAGCAGATAGAATGGGAGGGAAGGATACAGGACTGGGGTAGAGATGGAAAGAAAAAAGCAAGATTGCAAAGTCTTTCACAGATTCGTTGATGTACTTTCCTGGCAGATGCGTTGATTGTGAGTTCTGCTTGAGGGAAATCCTGGGGGTGGATGGTGGGACTCCCACTGAGCAGAAAGCACCATGCACATGAAATTCAACATCACGCTGCAAGAACCAAACTACAAGAGAAATAATATCTGTAGTAATGGAGCTGTTCTGCCAGTATAGATGTTCGCTGCCATTAACATGCTGTGGAATGCTTTCAATAACCACTGTGATCCCTGTGCCATAGCTGTACCACTCATTGCTAACAGCCAGTCATGGTAACAGGGATGAGCTGTACAATGTAGCTACTGTGGAAAGAATAATAATAAATGGGAATGGCTGCTCAGGGGTGTTGTCGTCCCCTCTGTCCCAAAAATAGTCCAGAAGGCTCACACAACATTATACTTCTGGTCTTCCAAACTAGAAAAACTTCCAACATGACAAAAACGCCTGTGTCCTCAGGTGGGCCTGCTTGTATAAAAAAGTAATGTGGGGAGCTGGCCCTGAGATATTACGGATGTGCTTTTGTCCTCCAAATGCTGCTTGCTCAGCCACATCTCTCCCAGGTGAGAAGAGGGCAGAGCTGTTGAATTGCAACTGTGCTATGGAAAATTGAATCCTTCCTGCAACGCTGTATATTATTAACTCGGAGGCCTTCTGCAGTGTTTGTCTTGGGACATGCTCATCTACCCAGCTTTTATTCGCGTGCGCTGCCTTTCTGCTTTAATAAATGTGCCAGCAGAGGCTGAGACAATGAAAGCCAGGCACCTCTTTGATCAAACCACTAGCACTGGCTGAAGCCCTTTGAGTGGCAAGGAACCGAGAATGTAGCTTCAGTTATTTACAGGGTCAAAGGCGAAGGGGAAAACATCTTGCTTCCTCCAGCACGACATCTCCAAATGGCGGCACATCATAGGAAGGAGTAATGTGGTCAAAGGGTATGTGGCATCATTGCATTCCTCAAGAGTTATCCGGGGTGACAAGGGGACAGGATCTGCAAGATGGCATGGATCTGAAGAACCACTGCCTTTTATCTTCTTCGCACTCCTAAACCTAAAGCACATTCTGTGAAAGCAAAGCAGGAGGCAGCAGGTGTAAGCCTTGAGCTCATCTACCTATGCATTTGGAACATGGAGCGCAATCAGCTATGTTCATGCACGATTCTCCATCTCCATATGCATATCCACAACAAAAATGGGCGGGCAGATTGCATGCACGTACACACCCAGTCAAGAGAACATTCAACGTCATTTGAGAAAGATAGGTACAAATGTGGGACTTGCTCGTACGCATCCCCATGGGAATAGTTTATCCACTCAGGATCTGAATGGATCTGAAATTAGTACGACTTACTTCCATACAATATGCAGTCTGTACTGGGACAATAAACTGGCCAAAGTTGTCTTTCAGGACTCCTAAAAGACAGTAGGCTATTGCAGTAAAAAAAAAAAAAAGCCAGAAAAACTTTGGCATGAGAATTTTACAAGATATTGCTCCATAGAACTGATGGACAAGTGAATTTCTGTGGCTCAAGAAATGATATAATAAAGTAAAGTGAGAGGGCACCTCTGAAGACCATGTTCTCTCCAGCTGTTGTATTATTAAGCATCTTGCTACGTAGGCTGCTAGTAGTGGATAAATAGACAACCCCTTTCTTGGGCGGGTGTCAAAACCAGACCAAGGTTATGAATATAGGGCTTACTATAATCAGTGCAACCTTGTTAGCTTGATGGGTGGAACTGTATCTCTACAAAGGGCTGCAATTATAATACAATGCACACCTTCTGATTCAAAGGTGACTGTTGGGGGGAAATGAAGAGAATATTGTTAAAATATAGATCCTGTGAAGGAAACTAGATTGGCAGAATACCCAGGATTATGACAGACAAGTGAAAGGTGAGCTTGTGTATTGGAAGGCTCCTGGTTAGTGAATTTGGGCACCCAGGGCTCTTGCACATGACAGTCAATGGTGGACTCAGTGCACCTCATGTAGGCAATTTTTTCTCAGTGTCCACATGACACCCTCATCAAAATACTGTTCCATATTCTCCCTTCCTGGCCCCACTTTTAATCTAGATTTACTGTTTCCACAAATACATATTTTGTTTGGATACTCATAATATGAGACAGCATTTTGACAAGGATGACACCATGTTCTTTGCAATGGGACTCTGGCAGTTCACACATAGGAGAACTTTGCGTGCTCTGATATTCCACTGGGAGTTTCTGCTAGCTGTCACTCACTGGATCGTCCTCCTCCTCTCTCTGGCTGGGAGGCTGTGTAATTCCCAGTGAAGGAGTTTTAAAACAGGAGTGGAAGTCCTGGGGCCACCCCATGTTGTTGGACTCCATCTCCCATCACCCCCAGCTAGCATGACCAATGGTCGGGGTTGATGGGAATTGTAGTCCAGCAACATCTGGAGGGCCCCATGCCTGCTTTAAATGAAAGAACCATAAACTACTATAGCTTGCTTTATTTTTTTTCAGTCACCGCACAGATCTGACTTTGGACAGATTTAGCTGTCCAAAGATAAGCCATGCTTTGTTAGCCTAATCTCTCCTTAATCAAATACTAATGGAAGCAGTGGAGTTACAGTGATTCAGCTGTGCCAGAGAGGGCTTTCCATTTGGGTACATGTCCCCAAATCATGTAAGTAAGACAAGAGAGTGAGGTAAAGTGTCAATGAAAAATCACCCACCACCAGCCATTTAATGCTTTATTTGTTTTTACAACAGTTGGAGTTTTGTTTTGGATTTATTTTTTTTGCTTGCTGGATCCAACAAATTACAGAAATCAGATTTCCATTTTTTTTAAAAACCAACATTCAGAGAAAATCTCCATAAGGAAGCAAAGTGAGGTGGGTTGGTTGGTAGGTGCACTGCAGTGTAGTAACATAGTCCACCCCTGAGCAAAGTCACAGCATCTTCAACCATTTCCCCCACATAGACTTCTTCTACATGCCATGTTTGAATTGACAGGGAGTTGGCCCCATTAGCAAGTGTTTCCATATGGGCTTGGGGGCATTCTTTGACTGAAATGGGGAGAAGGAGTTTGTGGGCCTAATTAAGGGGCCTGCTAGCTCCCCCCCACACACATAGTTATGACATGATCCATATAGTGGAAAGTATCCTAGGGAGGCATTTAAAATGATGGGAGTCGATCACTTTAATGTTTCTTGAACATGGGCCCTACTGACATAACCACATAACCGTTCCTAAAGGAGATTTGGGCTATACCATTCATTTGCCTGCAGCTGTAACCTGCTTTGTTTCCTTGCCTCTCCATACTAGTCCACATCCATCCCAGACAGAAGAAATAACACGACTCGGGGGGGGGGGGGCGTGGAATGTGCAACTGGTTTGACCGAAGTCATGCTATGAAGCTGCAAGGAAGAGAGTCTGCTCCCACCCACCCCACAAAGGATTGCATTCTATGCTCTGGTTTTAGCAAATAAGCAGTGAGCAGAGCACAGCAGCTACCCTCCTTTCTCCTCACGGCAAGGTCCCAGCTGGCCTAGCCAAGAGGCAACGAGCACATCCTCACTGAGAATTCCACCCTGATGCCTGTACAGTGGAACCTTGGCTCTTGAACTTAATTTGTTCCAGAAGTCCGTTCGACTCCTGAAATGTTCGAAAACCAAGGCGCAGGTACCAGTTGGCACAGGCGCCCTGGAAAAAATAGCCAATAGCCACACCAGACATTTGGCTTCCAAGAAACGTTCAAAGACCGGAACACTTACTTCCAGGTTTTCGGCATTCGGGAGCCGATTTGTTCATCAACTAAGCCATTTGAGAACCAAGGTTCCACTGTATCTAGATAAGGGTATGGGGAGAGAAACAGTACCCTGGTGAAACAAGTAAACAGCTCTTCCAAGCACCCCATCCCTGCACACATCAGTGGATTCTCTTTTTCATCCCCTGAAAGAAGGGACTTCAGCATGAGATGGGCGCAAAGCAGTCTTGCAAGGGAAAGTTGGGCCTGTTTTCTAGCTGCCCATCTTCCCTCGACTCAGCGGGAGACAGGGGATGGGAGAAAAATCGTGTGTCCTAATGCTGAAGAACCTAAGTAGGTTACCTTCTATCACTAATGTTATTAGTATGCCCACTCGCACCCCTTTCTAGTCTCCTGAGAGCTTGTGGAGATCTTTTCTCAAATTCAGCCACAGCCCTGTCTCTCCAGCCATGGACGACTGTTTTCCCCACCCTGCAGCTGAAACTGAAGAGGGTTCCAAAAACTCAGAAAGAAAACAACCACAGCTCATGGGTACTTGCCTTGCATGCATATGATCCCAGATTTAATTCTGCCATCTCCCTTTAGAAATGATCAGCTACCAGGTGGAACCATCAAGTAGGAGCATTGGCATGCATCCAGCTCCAGGCTCAGGCAACATAGCTCACAACTGCTGGTGGTCCTCAGTGGGGATGCATGCACCGAAACAGGCTGGTGGGATATGGATGAGCACCGTGATGTGGATGGAGGTGTACATTTATATGCATTTCTGATCTGCATCTGCATCATGTTCAGATGCCTGCTTTGGCACATAGAGCTCCCTGGTTGGATCACAGGCAACTGGGCTCCTTAATCAAACATACGATGCAAAACCAGAAATAACCTGAAGTTTTGCTTCCAAGAACAAAAGTTAGTTAATATAAGTGTGGATAGTAACTATGGCAGGGATGGGGACCCTATGACCCTTCATTTGTTGTTGAACTCCAGCTCCCAGAAGCTCAGCCAGCATGGCCAATGGTCAGGAATGATGGCTGCTATAGAGTCAACAGTGCCTGGAGGGCCACAGGTTCAGCATCATTAGGACTTAGCCTTCCTTCCTTCCTTCCTTCCTTCCTTCCTTCCTTCCTTCCTTCCTTCCTTCCTTCCTTCCTTTCCTTCCTTCCACAAATGCTTCCTCTGTTGGGAGGTTGAAGGCATGTCATAGTCATAATCCTTGTACCAGAACCATCAGCCCACAAGCCCAGTCCTGTGCAAGCTTCCTCAAAAGCATGTCCTACCTGAGGCTTCCTCTGAGAGAGGTTGTGCGCCTAAGTTTGTAGCCTTGATACATAACCCAAAACTCACTGCTGGTGAGAAAGTCAGCCCAAGCCAGCTAAGCCACATCACCACCATCACCTCCATCTCCTGTGATTTGTATAAACAGCACCCCATGAGCATGCCCCTGGAACAAATGGAGTGCCTCTCTAATGATGAGTTGAGGACTAAGTCATGCCCTGACACAAACAACTCTTTGGCATCTTACTGTGACAGACTGAATTTGTCACATGGAGCCAACCAAGAGGAGGCTTTCACTTTAGATTAAGGCTGGCTTGCTAGAAGTGCCTTTAGGCAGGCAGGTACTGCGCTGTCTCGCTCAGCCGGCTGCTGTGAGCTGCCTCTTCCACCACCCCTGCTTTAAGTGTTTGCTTCAGTGGAACTTTCTTCAAGGTCACCAAGGGATTCAGCTACACAGAACCAATGGCTCTGCTCAGCTGGAATGAATTGACTCTTGCTCGGCCTCATTGGGAGAACAAGGCCTACAGTGTAGGTTCACCTCCCTTTCTTTCCTTAATGGTCCTATCTCTGACCAACCCAGGATTATTCACAAAGAGCATGGAAACTGAAAAATGCTTCTTCAGAGAAATTCTGTGAGCACCAATCACTCATTCAACACTAAGAACACTGGTGGGTGCCTCTTTTTGAAAATGCGTAACCCTAAAGCAGAGAAAAATCTGTACTTGGTGTTGCTACACTATGGAAAGTCACATCCACATCATACATTTAAAGCACGAACAATCATGGCTCCCCCCAAAGGATCCTGGGAGTTGTGGTTTGCTAAGGATGCTGATAATTCTTGGGAGGCCCTATTTCCCTCACAGAGCTTCATTTTCTAAAGTTCCCCAGGGGATTGATAGCTGTCCTACTCTTGAATAAAAAACAAAAAATGAAGGGTTTACAGACTTTTCTCAACCCCCCTGCCATTTTTTAGGAAGACCAAGATTAATTGGCAACTGGCGCATTCTGCCTATGCCACAAAACAAAGTCAGGGGCAAGTGGCTTTGAAGGCTTGGATTACATTATCTGAGTTTGAATAATTTTATGGCAAAACAGCAGAAAACCGTCCTAAGACCTCTTAATGCACAAACCTTTCAAGCATCTGTTTGCAAATGCAATGGATTCTGCCCCCTGTATCTACAGCTGCACATACACTATACCTTTAAATCACATTCAAAGCACATTCATCCCCCCCCCCCCGGATTCTGGGCACTGATTCATGATTCACACAGTTACAATTCCCAGTAACTATTAACAAACTACAGCACCCAGAATTCTAGAGTTATTCTTGCCTAGGGCATATACAGTAGTTGTCCATTTGTTGAGTGTGATGCAGTGAACATTTCCCCACCTAGCATCCCTGCTTCCATGCCACAGCGCTGAGTTGTTGGGGAAATGCTGTTTCTTCTCCTCGACCAAAGCATTGTAGTTATGAATCCAGTGCAGATCATGGTTGTTACAGCTCTCCTTAACTTGGTGCCCTCCAGCTGATAAGGACTACAACTCCCACCAGCCATAGCGCAAACAAACTGCTCTAGTATCAGTGGTGTAGGATAAATGCCACATCCCTCCTTCCCTATCCATGCCATTTTGGAGGGTTTAAAAGCACCCCACCACTTCCAATTACTTTTGGAGGTTGTGCTGGAATGCTCTCCAGCACTGGAGTTCACATTTAAAAAATAAATAAATTACCACGGCCTTCACTATCTATCCATGACAAAACTAAACCTGCCCTTTCCCAATGGTTGGGGAGAAACAGCACTATTGGCCCAGCCAGTATTTTAACACTTACACCAACAAGCACTTTTGGAGAGGGGTAGTGTGGAAAGGCCTCCACTTCCAATATTATCTCTTACTGTCTGCAAATATAGTTGAGAGTGCTCTGCTTCACAGTGCCCCCCCTTCCCCCAGGTGGATGCCAGCAGTAGCCTAATGGTACACCTGGCTCTGATCCCACCAGTTGCAACCATGAGCAAACAACCCGTTTAATCACATTTATTCTCAGAGAGAAAAATCAATTGTTCAATTTCAGATGCCTCCCTAAAGGAGGCTTGGTCAGGTCTTTCAGCGCACTGAACCTTCTGTTCTTCCCCTCTTAACTTAAAAGGCAGGTGGAAAGAGATGGCTGAAGTGACTTGAAAGCACTGGTCTTTCGTCAGTTGGTTTCTTCTGGGATCTGTCCTGGGATCCAGAACCCCATTGTAGTCTGGTCCAAAGTGTTCCTAGGGCTGGAATTCACGTACGTAGAACGGGTCTCTGTTGTGCAACTGGTCCTCTGCAGGAACTGGAGGAAATTCTCATGGATGGACCCTTCTGGACTGGAGATGCACAGCTCTTGGCTCAGGGGCTTGCTGAGGCAGTGTCGCCCCAGCTTGGACAGCTCTTCCCTGATTTGACGGTTCAGCAGCCCATAGAAAAAAGGGTTGATAGCAAAGGAGGAATAGGCAAGCCAGGTCACAATAATCTCACCATAACTGGGGATGGTCAAGACAGAGTTGATGGAGCAGTGGAGGTGGAAGGAGAAGAATGGAAGCCAGCAGCAGAGGAACTGACCTACAATCAGGACCAAGGTGAGGGCAGCTTTATTCCCACCAAACAAGCGTTCTGGTGACAGCCTGGGAGGTGCATTCCTGGTTGTGATTATAGTGACTTGGCTGTGAATGGAGTCTGATCTTGGTCTTGGTGTGGCAGTCCAGGATGGAACAGGAGCATGCTGCAAGGATGCGATCCGGGCCACTTTGTAGATGCTGCCATAGACTGCAAAGATGATTAAGGTGGGCACTATGAAGCAGAGAGTGCTGAAGATGATCACAAAGATCTTCTTGTGGGCACCTGGGCTCCAGTACACAGTACACTTGCTGGCACTGCTGGCCCCGTCGACTTGGGGCCAACCCACGAGTGCCAAAGCAGCTACGAGGATGGACTTAACCCAGATGAAAGCCACAACGGTAACTGCGAGCCCGGTGGTCATCTTGACTTCATACCTCATGGGGTGGACAATGTAGTAGTAGCGCTCGATGCTGATGACTGAGATGGTGAAGATGGAGGCACTGATGAAACAAACATTCAGGAAGATCAGAGTCTGGCATTCGGCGATGCTGTACAATACCCTGTTGAAGCAGGTGGAGCCGGATATGATCCCCAGTGGCATGACAAAAATGGCAGACAGCAGATCTACTAGGCAGAGGTGGCAGACAAAGATGAACTTCCTCAGCAAAGGCGTCTTGAGGATGACTACCATAACTGCTGTGTTGGCAACCAAAGCAATGACACTCAGCATGACCATGAAGAAAATGCCAATGGCCTCCTGAAACTGGGACACTCCAAGTGAAGAGAAGGTATCGAAACCCTGGGTAGAGTTGATCCTAGTTTTGTTTACCATTGTCCCCATGGTCTAGTTCAAAGTGACCTGTGTCTTAGCAGCAAGAAGTACCAGTGGATGTTCAGAGTATATGTCACTGCCACCATCTTCCTTCCTGGTAGTTCTTGATCCCTGTGGAGAACAACAAATCTTGGTGACATAGGAATGACTGGAACAGAATGTGCTGCCAGAATCAAATGGGAGACTTGAGGGAATCAACCATTGCACATGCAATACTGGAACACAGAATGAATACATTGACTATAATGGGATAGGGATGAGACACAATTCAGTAGGACACACAATGAACTAGATGAGGGTGTTCCAGTGGTTTAAATACTAGGAGGTCAGAGGGGGAAGTCCCGTCAATTGCTGTTTTGGAAAACTATAGGGGGCATAATTTTGGGTAGATGGTGTTGGGCATGCAGGCGTTGTTAAGGGCCCCCTAACTCCCCCCTCCCATTATTGGAGCTCTGGGGTGCTCATTGCTATAATAATCTACTGTGACTTTATCCATCCTGTTAAAAGGTAATTGAGGTGACTGCAGTTGCTCCTCAGTGGTGTAGCATAGTTTGCTGGTGGACTGGACAATCTGGTGGTGCTGGACTGCAGTGCAGCTCCCTCACACACTGGAGCCCAGCAGAGGAAAAACATAGTGATGCTGCAGCTGCCTCTCCTCTCCCGCCCTGGGTCAGGCCTGATCCGAGAGTGGAGTTCTGGCATATCAGTCCTGGGACATCACATGAGGAGCCAAACAGAGGAGAGGAGAGGCATGATGGGGCAGCGGCAGTAACACCCTCCCCCCTCCCCCTCTTGGCTGGTCCAATGGCCATGAGCAAAAGGTGCTGCTACCACCCCTGCCCTGAAGGCCCAGCTCGGGTGTGGCTTCCTTCCCTGCCTTGATAAGGGGGCCTGTCATATGCCCAGGGCAGCAGCTCCCCCAGCCCCGCCCATGCTATGCCTCTGAGTGGCAGTGATGCTGATGTCAGGTGAGCAGCTCTGAGGTTTCACCTCACCCCAGCTCATGGGACACTACTGCCTACTTCAACCTTCTGGCAAAGTAGGAAGTCCCCTCCTGCAATGTATGTGGCCTCAGCTTACAAACCTCTGATAAAGGAGAGCCCACTATCGTCTGAGACTGTCTGCTTCATGGCTGAACAGTTTGCACCATCAGGAAGTTCTTGCTCTGGTTGGTATGTGTGGTACTTTCAAAATATGGCAGCACAATTATGACCACATTCTCCGATGAGCCCTAGGTTAAGGCCTTGAGGGGCATCAGTAAATAAGATGCAAGGTGGTATTCAGGTGGTTGAGCTAGCTTCTAACTTTTTTCCTGCAAACATTTATTTGGGCTGGCACAGGAAGGGTCATGACAAGGCCACAGCCTCAATATATTTCTAATTTTGTTTACTTGAGCAATTTTCTTCTTGCAGTTGACAAAACCCAACAAAACCCAGAAGCGTATCCAGAAATCAAATTTCAGATTAACAGGCTAGCAGATTTTTGAAGTGGAGGGTGGAATCTCCTCAGGTGAGATCCCAAGAACCTGAAGAGCCATGGCAACCTGGGAAAACTTTCCTCAACTGAATACACATAACTGCTGGATCCTGCAGCTAATCTAACAGAGCCAATAAAAAATTCCTACCCCTTCACATTTTGGTCCAGTCAAGAGCTCCTTATTCTGAGAATGTGACGTCAGGAAGAGTTTGCCATTGACTTCCACAGGGGCAAGACCAGCCCCTTTATATGCAGGACAAAGAAAATGAAACCTAACAAGCCTGCATTATGAAATCACTGCTTACACAGGAGCAGAAATTGATCCGGGAGGTATTAAATCACCCTGGGCAGATTTCCCCCTCAGGAAAGAAAGGAAATGCTCCCAGGAGACACCTTATCAGGGTCATTCTTGGGAACAGGCAGTGGTGGTTCTTCTGCACACAGTGACATCATCTTAGTAGGTGGAATAAGTTCCTCATTGGTTGCTATGAGCTCTATCTTCCTGGACTCTGGCACTTTCTGGTAGAATAAGCAGTGTGTGTGTGTGTGTGTGTGTGTGTGTGTGTGTGTGCCCTCTTAAGAAAGTTGAGGATGGCTTATCTCAACCTAGAATCATTTTCAATCAAAACTGTCAGTGCTGTCGCTCTGAATAGTGTGTGTGTGTGTGTACACCTCATTCCAGTAGTTTTTTTAGAAACAAGATTTAGACCTCATCCTTGTATATTCCCTTTTCAGTCTCCAGTAGGGGTATTCACCAGGCACCCCACACTATCCACCATAAATAAGAAATAAAATGAGAGAGGCTTCATTCCCACCTCTAGATTAGCTAATCCTGGAAGTGACCACTCTTTAATCCAGTAAAGTCAGGAAAAAAACAAAAACCTATCAAACTAGCATAAGAAACAACATATTGAAAGTTGCAGTGTCTACTTCATTAAGGAAGAGGCTTGCAATGATTTTATAGTTTAACCTCATTTATGCTAGACTACTTGGCTGATGCCAAGCTAAACCTCTGAAAGTCAGGTCAATCTCCCTGCCATTGGTGCTCCCTTCTATTGTTTCCGTCACTTTTTGGGGAGGGTGCAATACTTTTACAGATATTCTCTCATTGAGTCCCCTCCCCCACCGCCCTGTGATGAGGTACCATGTTTGAAATCCAAGATGAGGGCTAAACAAATGTTAGCATTCAAGATTAGGCCAGTTCTAGGGCAGCATGGGAGCGCCTTCCACACAAGTCCAGCCCTACCATTAAGCAGAGTGAGGAAGTCGCCTCAGGTGGCAGAGCTTGGAGGAGAGAGTGGTGCGTGACACATACCTTGCACCCCTAAGCTATTCTGCTGCCCTCAGGTGTAGTGGAAGACACTGTCCCATCACCAGTGCTAAAGTCAGATTCAATCACCAGCCTGGTTTGCTTTTGTATATGGAATGTGAGGGGGCGCCATCTTGACGTTTTTCAGGCGGCAAAATGGGTCAGGCCAGCCCTGCTTCTGCATGTTGAATTCCATGCCACTCTCGAATCATCTGGAAGAAGGAAGCAAGGACAGTTTGGGGGAAATGACATGCTTTCTTTCCAAGCCAGCATTGTCAACCCCCCGGAGCAGATCAATGCTGGTAGAGGAAAGAACTGTATCATTATTCACCTGACCCACATTACCAGAGCAGCATGGATAATTCCACCCGTGAGGAAGGAACCTCCAACTGTTCTGGTAACGTATAAATTAGCTGCCAGGTCTGCTGCAGTAAACAATAACAATGAAAGCTTTAGCCATTAGCAGAGGTGGATTTAGGGTAGAGCCATCAGTGCAGTTGTACTGGGCGCCTTGCTGCAGGGAAACAATGCTGTAAAATGGAGCACGAGAGGCAGGGGAGTACCAAAATTCAGCACTGCACAGGGCACCACTGAAATCTGAGAACCCAAAGTCTACCACTGCCTTTACAGATGGCCCCATTGATTTATCCCACCCTCTGTTTGTGTGGAGGTGAGTCTCCCAGAGCTATGGTCATATGATTGATACGGGATGACCCAAAGATTATTTTGTGGTACAGGGCTATACTAATGTAGGCTCTTTCTTTGTCCCCAGTGCAAAGTAATGGGACACCGTGGGACACCATGCCTGAAAGCATGGCAAAACATTAAGACAGAAATGTTGCTAGGACACTTCTAAGGAACATCTTCCCTGTGGCATGGAAAGATGGTTTGGGATGGCCCGAGGCTTAATAAGCGATGACGACATTTTGTTCAGGTCCCAGTTCTTGATTTGGGCTCCACCTAAGGACATATGAGGAGCTCTGCTCAGCCAGGCCAAAGGTCCATCTAGTCCAGGATCTCGTTATCACAGTGACCAATCAGATGCTTATGAGGAGCTCACAAGCAGAATCTCAGTGCAACAGCACTCTCTACACTTGTGATTCCCTAGCAATTGGTATTCAGAGGCATACACTCTCCAACAGCAGATGCAGAATGCAGCCCTCTATAACCTTATCCTCCATGAATTTGTCCTGAACGTTTGCATTCAATTAAAAATTGTGGAGTCACACACCATATGCTTCTTTCTATTGGAGAGGAGGGATTTTGATTGGGAAAAATCACACTGGGTGGTGGGTGGGCTGGGGTGGATCCCTCCCTAGCTCCACTGCTGTTTTTAACTAAAAATATTAGTACTTAAAAGTCAACCTGGGATTTCCCTTGTCTTGAAAAGAACTAATAGACATGTTTGGATTAAACAGGACCATGTTGCCTGAATAATACACGGCCAATTTCATATTGATCAATAGTGTCATATTCACATCCCCTTCAGATCTTTCCAGCCATTCAGAAGGCAAGCTTTTGAGAGGACTCAGCCAATCTCCCTAAAAATACAACTGCACCTAGCAATTTTGCTGGGTCTAGTAAGGCATCTTCTAGCTTCATTAACACTCTCCTGGCCACCATACTCTTATCTTACAAAAACATAGCCACAGCACAGTCTTTAACAACATGTACACAGAGGCGCACTGGCTTACTCTGTAAGTGACATGCATCCTCCCCCCTCCACTGACCTGCATGTATTCTAGCATACCTAGAACTGCATTTTTTCATACACAGGCATGCCCAGTGCCACACTCTCATCTATCCATGCACACACATACATGCACAGAGCCCGGAGGAGACCAAACATCGTTCTTCCTCTCTCCCAGGCAGGCAAGGTTAGTGTGAAATGGTGCATAGTCTGCTGATCCAGCAAAACAGTTCTCTCCCCTGCCTAGCAATAACAGTGGCGGAAGATTCCTCTTTAGATTGAGTTGCCTGGGCAACTCAACACTTGCTGAAGAGGGCTCTAGATATATTGGGCTTCACCCCAGCGACAAGACCATCCCAGCAACTTCTCTGCAAGGCAGGCCAGCAGCTTCTGCTTCTGCTTTTGTAGCCATGCTGCCGTCATCGTCATCTTGCTCCTTTGCTCAGAATCAGCCTTGGACAAACTCCTAGTTAACAAACAAACTAAATGGTGGTGGTGACAAATGCTTGGCTCAACCCAAAGCTGGGAGCGAGGTAACTGGTTGGTCAGAGAATGGGAGATTGATGGAAATTTCTCCCCGAACCTCTTTAAATTATGATGGAAGGATGTATGGGATAGGAAAGGCTGTGACTTTGAGATGGGCGGGGGGGGGGGCTTCTTAAAAAAATTGCTTGACATTTCACTTGGTAGGACTCGACGCTGGCTGCCCTAATGGACCAGTGCTTCCTGGCTTGAAACAAGAAGTAGGAGAAATGAAAAGTGGAAATAACACAACTAAAAGACTGGAATTCCAGGCCCTCCAAGTGTCCCTATTTTCCAGGGACAGTCCCGGATTTACAGAAGCCGGCCCTGTTTCTGATTTGATCCCAGAATGTCTTGCTTTTCCTTAGGACGTCCCTATTTTCACTGGGAAAATGTTGGAAGGTATGGAGTTAGGCAACCCCTGAGCCAAGAGGATAAGTAACTATACAACATTTAGAAGACATCTTTAGAAGGAAGCCCTGTATAAGAAAGTTTCTTAATATTTAAAGTTTTGTTATATTTTTATATATGTTGGTAGCTTCCCAGAGTAGCTGGGGCAACCCAGTCAAATGGGCGGGATAATAATAATAATAATAATAATAATAATAATAATAATAATAATAATATTGGAATAGGATGCCCCTATTTTCATCAGAGGGTATAGAATTCAGCAAAGTCAAATTTCAAAGGTACCCTCTCAGCTAACAAGGTATACTAGTAACTTTGGGGGGTACTCAGTCATACTAGGCCCTAATTCTGCGCATACTTGTAAATCTGCCTCTGGCCCTTGATGATCCTGTGACAACACAAGAGCAGCCAGTGCCTGGCACAGAGCACACAGAGCGGGAGAGTGTGATCTGTGAGACAGGATTGGCTTGAGACCATCTCAGATGTTGCAGGGGCAGTTTTCCCCTCCCTAAAGGAGAGCGGCTTGCAAGGCCTGCCATCCCTCAACATTCACCCTTGCAGAAAGGACACAGCTCCTATACCAAATCATTCAGACAGATGTGTTCAATATAAAGCACATTGGTTGCTGTTATCAACCCTTCTCTTTCTAACACTACAGAAAGATGGAGGTCAGAAGGCAATTTTTTGAATTTGTACGGCCTGATGCAAGTGTCTCACATTGTTTCATTGGTAAGGCAAGTCCCAAACTCCGCAATCTGTCCCACAGATTACTGCCTTTGGGATAAGTTTATTGAGGACTATATTCTCCTGTGGTATAAATTTCAGTGCTGACGAGACACTTGGATGTGAGTTGTTCCTCTTCTGTTGAGGGCCACCTCCACAGCATCTGTCAAGTGAATGACTCTAGCAGAAAAAGTGTTTGGAGCTGGTGGTCGAGGGCCATTCTTCCAGTATCTCATTCTATGTGTACTTGTCTCTGATGCTTTAAACCCCTTTACTAGATGGCCTTTGGGGGTCCCTTACAATGCTACAAGTCCAGCAATTTGGAAGCCACTTCTGCATGAAGCAATCCCAAACAGCAGTGGGGCAGGGGGAGATGAGTGAATAATGCAAACCCATTGAGGGACTCACCCAATTGCCCCAACCCATGTACTTGCATTATTCCCATAACATGCTCTCCTAAGACACCAGAGTGCATCATGTGGGGGTGGTTCTTAAGCTGCAGGTGTGAAGGGGGCCTTAGAGCAGGGTTGGTTAAACTCTGGCTCGGGACCACCAGCAGTTCTCGGTACACTTTCAGATAGTGCTCTCACTCAAATGTTTAAGAGGCAAATGCTGAAGTGTTAGAGCATTCTTTGGCATGCCCACATAAGCTGAAATGGGATCAATGTTCAGGTTTGATTTTAAAATTGTTCCCTCCATTTCTGATGTTCAGGCTCTGAGCGCTGCTGCTTGTGTTGCCAAAATGGCACCGTCTACACACACAAAAGGGAAGCACCAAGAGGCTTGAGAGGGCCCCAAGGCTAACAAAAGTACAAAAACATTTTTAGGGCAAACACTCTAACGATGGGAACCCCAAAAACAACCCAATGAGTGCTACGTTCAGTAACAACAGAATAGTTACTGGCTGTTGTGGGGACTGGATGGGTGGAGGAATGGAATGGTCTTGAATCTTCAAGAGGGCACACTCCAATGTTTAAGCTGAAAAACAACTGCTTTGGAGACTCTCAGTGGCTATCCTCAGAGTTCTCCTCATTGTCTGCATATATTGCATTATAATCTGGAAGCCTCTGAAGCAACCTCCCATATGGGGTCCGTATTAAGACAATGGGGTGATCCACAAAGATCAAGCAAGTGCAAATAGTGACCTACAATAAAATAAATTGTAAAACAGGTTGCAAGGAAGGGGGATGAAACAGCTTTGCAGAAAGGATGTAGGAAAGTTGGGGGGGGTATAAATAAAAAAAAATCTGAAGCAAGCCAACAAGCTAACTTGAAAAATCACCTCCATAATTGATTTCACCAGTTTTGAAAGCAGGAAGGTGCTTCTATCAGAAACCTTCCTTTGACTACCACTTGGCAGTTTCTAGGGCTTATATATCATTTATACCCTTTATTCCTCGCTGCTGTATCAACTACTGAATTGTCATTTTAGACTGCAAACTCCTTTTCACCAAGGTAAGGCAGTTCTTTCCATTTCTCCCCTTGAGCAGCTTTTCTATCACAACCTTCCTCCCCCCCCCACTCATTTCAGTTTCTACTCTCTCTCCTTGAATGCAGGTGAGCCAATCTTGACCTAGCATTTGAAGCAAAGGCTTTGCTTGTGCCTTCTTACCAGGGTATTTCTAGATTTCCCTGCCCCTTCTGGAATGTCACACCCAATACATTGCAGATACGAAACTGGAAAAGATGAAGGAAGCTGTTTTGAGGGAAAGGTCCAGGGAGCCCATTCAGTGGAAGGGGCTTGTATTGCTGAGGAACATAGGAAACTGCCTTGTACCGAGTCAGAACTCTGTTCCAACTGGCTCAATTTAGCCTGCACTAACTGGCAGCAGCTCTCCAGGGTTTCAGGCATACTGGGAATTGAACAGGTGACCTTCTGCATGCAGAGCAAATGATCTGCCGTTGCACTTCTCCTTACCAGATGAGGTATGTGCCTTTGCCCCAATGCTGTCTCAGACCTACATCCTCCCCAGAAGGACCCACAAAGAAGCCACTCACCTAAGTTGAGTGAGGCTGATGGTCCTTCACTGGCCAGCAGCATCTCTGACTTCTGTCTCCTCCAGAGCAGCGAGTTCTTCATAACTTCCCAGCAAGGGCAGGAGTAGCGGCTTCAGATCTCACCCCTCCTTCTCAGGAGCTGACAGGCTTATCAGTTTTCCATGCTCTGCTGTGATGTCCATTTTCCTAGACAGCAAACCGGTGATGCTCCGCTGGCTTTCGTACCAGCTCCATGAACGGGGGAACAAGGACTATTGTCCTGTTTACAATGATCTGCTTTGTTTGTGGAATCAAAGTCCTTTCCTGCTGCAGGGAGAAGACAGCTTAAGCAAGGCAATTATTGCACCCTGGAGGTAGCCCAAGACTAGGAAGAGGAGATGCACAAAATCCCTAGGAAGGGGTTGCTGCTGTTGAATTCTCTGCACCTGGAATAGGGCTGGGAGGCTGCTGCTGCTGCAGTAGTGACTGCTGTTTCGCTGTGGATGGCACAGGCTGTCACATCTGGGCTTTGCCTGGCCTTTTAAAGCACTGTCTGTCATTCAGAGAGAATTCTACTGGGTCCTAAGCACCTCCCCCCACAGAGATACATAGGCTTGAGTGACCCAGGACACCCTGTTGTAGGAAATGGGTGTTCCGAGGCTGCTGAACCTCTGGAATTTTCAGCTCGGCAAGGAGGATAATTGGGCCAGGCCATTCCATTCAGATTGTACAAGCTGTACCTAAGGGGTAAAAAGAGAAGCAGGATGCAGAGGTGTGTGTGGTTTTTCCCCCTGCAGTGAAAGCAGAGCAAAGACAGCTCCCTGCTAGTTCACTGAGGCCTGTGTTACCAAGCGCAGGGGTATTTTTTTACTAGGAAAAGATGAAGCAGTCTCTTTCCAATCGATGTAGATTTTGCACATGTTCATTCATCCTGTCCCATTTCCACATTAATATGATTTTTTAAAAAAAATTAAAGCATGCAAGGAAATTCATATTTAAGTACTTCTACATGAATTTCATCACAAAATACACATTTACGATTGCACTTTATCTCAATGTATGTAAGCATTCATAAATGTATTTTATCCTAAAATACCGTTTTTTATGTGTTTCAGTATGTTTTTTTGAATCATAGAATCATATAACTGTAGAGTGGGCTATCTAGTCCATGGGCAGGCAAACTAGGGCCCAGGGGCCGGATCCAGCCCAATCGCCTTCTCAATCCAGCCCACGGACAATGCGGGAATCAGAGCGTTTTTACATGAGTAGAATGTGTCCTTTTATTTAAAATGCATCTCTGGGTTATTTGTGGGGCATAGGAATTCATTCATATATTTTTTCCAAAATATTGTCCGCTCCCCCCCCTCCACAAGGTCTGAGGGACAGTGGACCAGCCCATGGCTGAAAAAGTTTGCTGACCCCTGATTTTAGTCCAACTGCCTGCAATGCAGAAATCTCAAAGCATCCCAAACAGATGACCATCCAACCTCTGCTTTCAAACCTCCAAGGAAGGAGAGTCCACCACCTTCCGAGGGAGTCCATACCACTGTCAAACGGCTCTTACCGTTGAAAAGCTCTTCCTGGTGTTTAGTCGTAATCTCCTTTCTTGTGATTTGAATCTATTGGTTCGGATCCTAGCCTCTGAAGCAGGAGAATACAAGCCTGCACCATCTTCCATGTGAAAGCCCTTTAGATATTTGGCATTCATATCTCTTCTCAGTGTCCTCTTTACCAGGCCAAACATACCCTTCCACTGTTCCTCTACTTTTCAGTAGAGAGCTGTATTGCAAAATTCTGAGAATGGTGAAACCTGAAGGTTAATTAGGTTTTGACCCGCACATTAGTCCAAGTGGACTTCCCTTCAAAATTCAAAGAAGTCAAAATCCTCAAGCACCCCTAATTTCTTCCCAGCCTACTTAAAATAATACTTGCCAATTTTACAATATGTATAGCTTGTCATGTATATTTTATCTCGGACTCAGAGCCAGGTGACAGGCAAATGTTAAATGTGCGTACATTTCCATGAATTACCATAGCAAATGAGCAATGGCTCTTTGTTTCATTTGATCTATGTGACAACATTATTCTCATGATTGGCTCATAGATTAATAGCCAGCTGTCATGAGGGGATTGTCGTCAAAAAAAACAGGGAGATGTTTTACTGTCTCCCTTGTGGTGGTGGAAATGTGGAGCTCTATTTGCAAGAGTAAGGAATCCCTGGCACACCCCTTCACTAGATCCCCCTGATCAGGTAGAGGGACAGCAAAGGCCATAGGGACAAGGAGTTTGAGAAGAGTCCATACATGGATCTTCCCCTCACAACAGCTGCAACAACACAAACCATCATCACAACTCAGTCATTAAAGAGAGAATTTCCATAACACTTCAGATTCCTGCCAACAGTTTCTGCATTCAGCTGAGAATCATCCAGTGATGTTTTCAAGTGATGTACAGCCATTGCTGTCACCTAACCAGGCTACCTGGGGCCAGAACTCACAGATATTTAAGTGCAGTCAAAACAGCTATTCTTGTTTTCCTAGATAGGCACATGTTAGGAGCTAAAGGTCACAGAGTTTTTCCTGTAAATTTGCTAGAGAGAACTCTGAGACACACTCCCACTGTGCCCTGACAGGAAGAGGGTGTAGCTATATATCCTCCTCCTTGCCCCTCTTTCTGCTTTTTCCACTCTCACACGCCAGCAATGTGAGAACACCTGCAGTCTGAGTTCAGACTCCATTTTAAAGCTACTTAAGTGCAGGTCCCCCCTTGAGCAGGGGTTACATTCTGGGCCCCCACAGACATAAGTGAAATTGCGTATAGTGGGCAGCACCCTCTAAGCACCCTTTAAATGCCTTCTCTTATGCTCTCTCTCCATTCCACACCAAAAATACTGTAGCAAAAAGGACCACAACTTGAATTGAAGCTCTGGGGCTGGCAGGAGTCTGGAGGACATGTGGGGAAACGTCGACTTCTGCTTTGCTCCCCCAAACATCAGCTGTTAGGCGGGGAGGCTGAGCAGTCTAAACAAAGCCCCACTGTGCTCGAAGTCTCTTCCGGGCTTCCTACGCCCTCAATGACGTCTTCTTTGGGCTCCGGGGAAGGTCTCCTCACAAGCCACGAGAACCTTCCAGCTCTTGCTCGCCATTTCTGGGTTTGAATTTGTTATTATTTAATGATTTCCTGGCGCCCCGTGTATACAGGGTCACAGGTGTGTAAGGAGTGGGGGGAGATGCCTGCATGTCTTTGTAACCAAATTACCATTTTAAGCCTGCCTGAATAAAGCTTCGGTATCTGTTGCTCTTCAAGAAGTATTCTGAGTGCGCAAATGTTATTTTTACCTTTTACATCCCTGTTTGTGTGATTATTGATTTATGGGGGAGAAAAGGGAAATCCTGTCCACCTTAAAGCATCCTGGGTTACTTAAACTAAAAGGCTAAAACTAGCCAATCTAAGCTTCCCTTTTAAGCTGCAAAAGGGATAGCACTCTGCTAAACTCATACACATGAGGAAATCAGAATAATATCCAATATCCCCTCCTAGTATCTAATAACACCCCAACAAGAACACTTGCTTTTGTATCTGGGGTGATGCCTATACTTGTTGCCTCTCCTTCAGGGTAAATAGTACACAGCTCATGAACAGATTATGATGGGCACTGCTGGCTCCAAGTTTGCGGGGGAAGCATTTACTCTTCATCAGTGATCAGCCCTTTTAAAAGAGGGGAGAAATGAAAATGAATTTTATTTATTTCATAAAATTTATACACTGCTTGATTGTAATAAAAACACACACCTCACAATGGTTTCATATCAGAAACTGTGGGAGGGCTTTCTGGCCTTTAGGTACTATGCTAAAGGTAAAGGTAAAGGACCCCTGGACTGTTAAGTCCAGTCAAAGGCGACTATGGGGTTGTGGCGCTCATCTTGCTTTCAGGCTGAGGGAGCTGGTGTTTGTCCACAGACAGCTTTCCGGGTCACGTAGCCAGCATGACTAAACCGCTACTGGCGCAGCGGAATACCATGACAGAAGCCAGAGCACACAGAAACATCATTTACCTATTTATCTACTTGCACTGGTGTGCTTTCGGACTGCTAGGTTGGCAGGAGCTGGGACAGAGCAATGGGAGCTCATAAATGGTGTGGAGGATTGCTAGGTAGTACTGTCATTCGCTTCTGAGCTACTTTGGGATGTGATAGTATTGGAAGCTGTTAATTGGCCTATTGGTAAACTTTATGCTCACTTAAATTTGAGATCTTTTAAATGAATCGTTAATTGTTAAGTTGTTAAGTGTTTAAGGCTACTAGCCAGCTTTGACACATGGCTGGGACCACTCACCTGAAATTTCTATCGACAGGCAGATAGTTACAAACAGAATATTTCTATACTTAGAGCTCAGCTCAGTGACATCAATTGTTCGTTCCAGTTCCGGGGTTAAAAACTCCAACCAATAAACGAACTTAAAAAGCATGCATTTGTAACAAATGCTAGCAATATTCTTGCTCATGTATTGATTGAACACTGGTTAATTTTTAAAGCTTCCAATTTCTCTATCAGAAGGGTCAGAGATAAGAACTGTCACTGGTCTACAGTGGCTCACTTCCTTTTGTTTTCCATTATCACTGATTTGCATGTAAGAAAGTGTTTCCTCAGACCTTTCTGTTTGTCCAATTAATTAAATGTTTGCAAAGCCCTCAGTAAAGAAGATTCAAAGAAAGCAGGTAGCAGTCCCTGCCTTGCTTCCTTCCTAACAGCACTGATAAGAACCAGTGAAGAAAGAGAGGCTTGCATGCCCTGAGAAGAAAGGGAGGCCTGTAGCTCACATGAACAGGCAACCCACAGCCAACAGCTCTTCATACTTGCCTAATAATATTTAGTAGTTTATATACTGCTTCACCTAAAAAATAATTAAAAAGGTAAAGGACTCCTGAATGGTTAAGTCTAGTCAAAGGCAACTATGGGGTGCTCATCTCGCTTTCAGGCCAAGAAGACAGTGTGTGTCCACAGACAGCTTTCTGAGTCATGTAGCCAGCATGACTAAATCGCTTCTGGCGCAATGGGACACTGTGATGGAAGCCAGAGCACACGGAAACACTGTTTACCTTCCTGCTGCAGCAGTACCTATTTATCTACTTGCACTGGTATGCTTTCGAACTTCTAGATTGGCAGGAGCTGAGACAGAGCAACGGATTTGAACCACCGACCTTCTGATTGGCAAGCCCAAGAGGCTCAGTGGTTTACACCACAGTGCCATCCACATCCTCACACAACTTCACCTACATTGCTGTTTGATAGGGGATACTAAACCAACCCTACTTACCGCTTTGCCAACCGCCATGACCAAAGCCTCTTACCTTTACATCTACCCCTCCCTTCACAGCTCATCCCAAGTGCCAAGCCCTTTTAAAAGAGGGGGAGCTGCTTCACAGAGAATTGGTGTGTGGAATGCCTCCCTGCCTCCACTAAACCTTGCTGCAGGCATGTTCAAGCTGTTGGTGTGGCCGCCAATAGGCAGCTATGTGATCTGCAGCATGATGACAGCATTACAATTTTATTTCCATAGGAAGATATTGACGTACGTGACAATTTACAGAATATAAAAAAACACATCTACTACAGCCCTGTGGGATGGGCCAGTCTTATTTCCAAGTGTCAAGACTTAGTAGATAATTTGGGGCATTGGAATTAGGTGAGATGAGTTAAAGCCTGATCAGCTCTGTCCTGCCTGGGTAGCTGCCTCTTTCTCTCTGTTGCACATACTGACTAAGCCCCAATAGTAAAACAGAAATATTAATCAATGGTCTGCAGAGAGTTGCTCTGAGGATGGTTACAATTAAGTTCAGTAAAGTG